CCAGTCCATCACAGGGCACACACAGATACACATTCTGGACAGGACGCCAGTCCATCACAGCGCACACACAGATACACATACTGGACAGGACGCCAGTCCATCACAGGGCAGACACAGACACACACCCTGGACAGGACCCCAGTCCATCACAGGGCAGACACAGACACAAACACACACTCAAACCAGGGTCAGTTTTCCCTGAAGCCAATTAACCTACCAGCCTGTCTTTGGACTGTGGGAGGAAACTGGAGCAGCAGGAGGAAACCCACGCTAGCACAGGAAGAACATGCAAACTCCACACAGACAGCACCCCAGGCCTAGAATTGAACCTAGGGCCCCAGTGCTGCAAGGCAGCACATATTCAAAGTAAAACAAATGATGTCAATTGCATTTTTAAAGGATCATGCAATTAAAGATATATTTTTTCCAGTCAAGAGACTTTAAAGCACAATATCGTTGTGCACTGTGTAGATGTGGACAGAAAGAGGACAACTGTCCTGAAACCCAGCTTCACCCAGCAGGGGGCGGGTGGGGCTGTCATACTAACAGATCACAGACACTGGAGGAAGGAAGAAGAGCTTTGTGGCCCCTGACCAATCAGCGGAGCCTTCAGCCGCATGGTATAACAGCCACGCCAAGCTGGAAAACAACAGCTGAGTCACTGATCTGAATCCCATTCTATACTATAATAAGCTAATCACAGACCCCAGAGATCTAATTACATCCTTCGAAAGCTAAGAATGTCTTATTCTAAAAAGCACCGACTCCACCATCCCCTGAATGGTAGAAGGATAAAAGCAAAAAGGAGAACTGGATAAGATACAGCACAACAAACAGATACCAATGACCAGAAAACCTGCAAGGGACATTATGGGGACATAATAGCAGGACGTTGAAGGTGAGAATCAGAACTTCAGAGTGTGTGGAGACGCTTCTAAAATTGTGGGAAAACAAGATACCCGATGATATCTGTATTTTCCATGTTTAAATCGAGATTAAATCGAGTGTAATTGTACCCCTCACAACAAGGCGCAGGTCGATTAATGCCTTTTCCTGGGCTACGCTTAGATATCGTTCCAGGCAAAAACAAATAAACAGAAGCGATGGTTTCAACGCAGACAGATGGGTAAAATTCGCAGGAAGTCGTTCAAGTGGAGAAGGTGGGAGAGAAATGAGAGTAAACGTCTCCACTGGCGGAATAATGACGCCAGCAGGTACGATAACCGCAGCTGCGGCGCAGACGCCGGGTTGCCTCGGTGAAACGCCTGTAATGTTTGTGAAAAGTGCTGGTTGTTTCAAGGGCCTCGCCTCGCCTCTGTGTGCGGTGAGTCAGGCCGCTGGAATGTTGCCACCGAAGCCCCAGAAAAGGGTCTGTCTGAAACCCTGCTGACGGCTGCTTTATAAGGGCAAATCGCGGGAGTCTCCCGAGCGAATACAGGTGCCCCCTTCTGCGACTGGGACCCTCCGAGTTACACGGGTCGTCCCCCAGAATCGCACCGGTTTCGGAAAGCAACTCGTTGTGCTGTACCGCGCTGGAAGAAGGTGCACCCTGACCTCACCTTGTGCACAAACTTCAAAGCAATGGGCAACTGTTACGATCACGCGGGCTTTCCAGCGAGAACTTCGACACTCCACTGCAGTCCTTGCAGCACCGAGCTAATTACCGATTCTATACCGGCCTCTTGAAAGCAATTGGAATACCCCCCACCCAACGTGCCGTCAGTGTGACAACACGAACACACACCCTGCTTTACTAAATACTCTGAAAAATCAACGGATTTCTGCGCCTGGTTCACAACCATTGTTCGCCGTTGGTTTGAGATTGTATCTGTCTCCGTTCACTTCAAACACGTACCACAACACTGTGAGGAATGTGGACAGTGCTGGCTAAGTGGATCAGCATTGCAGAGCTACCTCGCTCGTCTCCAGCTGAGCCAATCCTTTGCTAAACTGATGGGCTGATCGAGGCGAACACAGAAAACTGGGGAGATCTTTATTTGACCCCTGAAACGCAGCAGAGCGTGCAAATTCCACCCTAGGGGGAAAGCATGACCTTCCAAAAGAAAAATAATTACGATTTTACATGAAATCATGTGAATACCAGCGGCTGGCGAAAATTCCCGTAGGCATCACACAGCGTATTAGCCTTTGAAGCACGAAGTGTCATTTTTCTTTCGGGTTGTTTTTCTGCTTGAAAACAAAATGTGCTCGTCAGAGAAGGAATGTGGACTGCGCTGGCCTGAGGGAGGGTGTGATCAGAGGAGAAAGCACACAGATCTCACGGCCTTGATCAGCGTGGTGTAGCTCGGCGGAGTACTGGTGCAAACACGTGTGCGCTCTGACGCCGGGAGAAACCTCACCGACAGTCGGGCCGCCCCCAGTCTCTCTGAGACATACAGCAGGGTGACGTGTCCACACCAGCTTCAGTCGCTGACTGGCAACCAGCTCCCAACCAAAATCATGTAAAACAATTGAAAGACACGGAGCAAACCAAAACGGAAAAAAAAGAAAGTAGCTTATGAACAAGGCTTGCATAATATCTTGCACAAGACGTACCAAGGGCCTGTGTGTACTGCAAAACGTTCTTTTAATCTCGGTCCTATTTGCTCCCGACCCGAGTGCTTATCTTCCCTGAGACTTTATCGGCTGCTGAAAACACTGTGACAGCATACAGTTAGTGCTGCTGTGCGTATGGGGGTAAGGGAGTGGGTCTGTCGCCCAGAGGGACGGTCTCCGTATTTGCTCACAGCTCCAGCAGCAAACACGCCAAGCCTGAGCCCGGGCACGTCTCCAGTCTCCAGCCGGCGGCCGTGCGCGCAGGCTGTGTCCTAGTGCCGGCTGGGCTGCCCGAGCACGCCGAGGCCAGAGCGCTCCGGCCGCGCTGTGCTCCCGCTGGAGACCCGCTGCATGTCGTCCGATTCACGTTGCATTTAATAAAATGGTTTCTGCACGTGAGAGTTAAAATGCTTTTGTTGTTGTTGTTGTTGTTGTTGTTGTTTGCAGTGTTCTTCACAACAAAACAACAGTTGGTTTTTTTTTAACTTTACTATACGAGTCCGAGCGCTTCTCTTTCCTAAAGCTTCACAGGCTCACTGTGTCTCTCTCCATTAGGTTGAGTCGACAGCACTTGCAGTCCGGACCATGGAGGACTCGAGCTGTTACTCATACTCTCACTGCTCTTACATATTTGTGGGGAATTTCTACAATAAATATTTCTTCTTACTTAGATTACCCTAATTTAGGTTGGTGCTTAATCTTACCTAGTTTGGGATATGTCACTGGATGTGTATCATAAACAGACACTCGGCTGGAGTATCGCACACTTTTTTTGAATATTTGAACATTTCTGCTTTGCAGGTCTAAAAATGATCGCGCTCCGTGCTCTTCTTCAGTCGAAACCCGGGGGTGTCTAGGACCCAGAGGGAGCCCGCATTGACCGGGCGAGGAGCAGTCACACCTGCTTGGTGCGATCAGCGTCGCCTAGTCCCTCGCACAAGTTTGCCGAGGGGCTCCGGCGACGAAGCGGTTGTTGAAGGATTAATCAATCGACCGCCTTCGTGTTTGGAACCGCCGGATCGGGGCGCCTTGCCGGTCACTACCGAACAGCAGCAGATTCAAGATGCGCCGTGCTGAGCGATCAGGAATACAGGACCGACGGGCGGTGCGGTGAGAGACTCCTCGCCAGTTTCCGTTTTATTTGTGCCTGGAGGGGGAAAGAGCGACGACATTTATCTTGGTAAATAAAAGGGCGGAGGCGCACGGTAAGGCCGTGCTTCAAAGCATTGCTGGCGAAGCGGGATCTGTTAGTATCGGCAGCTGTCACGCTGGCCGAGGGCTGCAGAGGCTGCTTGCTGCCTGCGATCTGTGTTGTCATCTGGGCAGCCACCATGCTCCTCCGTGCAACGCGAGATGAGTAACTGTGTTCTCGCAAGACACGGAGAGGTTGTTCGGGGGGTGCAGGAGAACACAACAAAAGGCCGTCCCTAGGGTGCTTCAGAATTGAGTAGGCGTGATAAAAGGACCACCACAACAACAACAGCAGAAACAAGACCGAACAACTTTTTTTTTGCCGTCTCTTTTGCTCTGAGTGTGGCCTGACAGAGGGGGAGGATGACTAACATGTGCGAAGGTGCCGAAACAGAAATTCTGGACCAGAACCACCGGCCGCCCTCCCCCGAGCAGAGCGAGGCGGGGCTCGGGTTCGAGCCGGACAGCAGCAGGCCGCAGCCCCCCTACAGCGTGGTCCTGGCCACCGCGCTGTACTGCGCCGAGTTCATCACCGCCGCCGTGCTCTGCAGCATCTACGACCGGAGCGGGGACCGGTTCTGGATGGCCTTCACCATCACCTTCATGCTGGTGCCGGCTGTGCTGGTCCAGCTGGCCCTCACCTTCATACACCGGGACCTGGGCAGAGACCGGCCGCTGGTCCTCTTTATGCACATCCTGCAGATGGGACCCGTCATCAGGTCAGTGGCAGAGCCCATCGGCTTGTGCTTTATATGGTCACAGCTTCACTGCTGAGGGGTAAACATTGTCAGCCTCTGTGCTGAAATAAGAAGAACCATGTATCCCATTTAAATGTTTTAGAGAAACTGTTTAGACACGTGTTCTCCTTTAAAATGGAGAAGAACCATAACGTTTTCGTATTGGTATTTATCCAACAGATGAAACGTTTTTAACACTGTGTGCGTGAGTTTAGGTTTTAGTCAGTGAAACTGTGAGTGATTCAAATATATTTTTGAAGCATAACGAAATGGGTTTCAAAGACTAGAACCACAACACTCCGCGCTGTGGCAGACCCAGGTCTGTTCGGTAGAACTGTGAAGAGAAGATTGTCAAATTGCCACGTTAATTCTGATCACTGATTTTATTATTTACTCGATCAGAAAATAACAATCGTGGTTTGAAAGATATATTTTCAAGCTTTGCATGAGGGTCAAATAGAACTTGTTCTGGTGTTACAAATGATCAGAATCTGAAAACGCAAGAAACTGTCAGATTGTGGCGCAGTATAACACACCAAACTACAGCCGCAATCCGTGTTTACTGTGTGAAAGCCCGTTGAATCTGTTTGTGAAACACCAGGTGCAGCAGAAGGAGCCCACATATCACACTTCCCTTATGTGTGTTTGTGAGACCACGTCTACCACAGAGCAAACACTTGAGAAGGCCACCGCTCCGTGTCAGCTCTCCTGTGGGAGACCCGCTGGGAATAAGCAATTCCACCCGCTTCCTTAGCGTCAGTTGTCTGTCCTGATACCAGTGAAACACGTAGCGCTCCTCAGCACTATAAATATGTCTGTTTTGGTCCACTGTCGCGGGCAGTTGGGGTTTCTCTTAGAGACATGTCATGTCGGCTCAGGGCAGATGAAACCCTTTCCAGGAGGTGGGTCTCTGAGTCGCATCAGCCATTCGAGTTTCGCCAGTAAATGACAGTGATCGCAGAGCCGGGGAGAGCGCAACAAACACGCCTTCTCCGAGAAGACTGGAGGAAGACACCCCCGGCCACAGCATGTGATGCCTGATGCGTCTCCTACAGATCACAGGGGCCCCACGCATGCAACAGGCTGGGGCAGTCTCGCCCCCCGCCCCAGCACGTCATCGCGCTGTCGGGTAGTGAGCACGCCTGTTCTCGGCCAGCTCTTCCATCCATGTTTCTCCAGTGGAGAAAGGTGACCTAAAAACTTCAAGCACCCGCTCTGCTGGGGGGTCGGTAACCCCGCTCGCCCACAGTTCCCCTGCAGCACCTCATTTGCGTCTCAATAACTCTGCTGGGAGTCAGGAATGTCACGCATTGCGCCGGCCCCCACCTGCCCCTTTATCAACACCCGGGACAACAAAGACAAGATCTTCTTTTCGTAGGAGACCACAGTATTTTAAATCACTTTTTTTTTGTGGACAGGACACCTTAGGTTTCGCAATGAATATATTTAGACCTGTGAGGTATTATTAGGAGTCGTTTTTTGTGTCAAAGAATTGGGCAGTATTGGTCAGCCTACTTTTAAGATGTTGTTGTGAGCCGCCCATTCCACTGCAACGCCGGATCATGCCTCAGGCACACCGAGAAATGTGCTCAGATCTGCAAAGGGAATGTAAAGGCGTCTCTCCACTCCATTGTGACGGCCCGGGGCTATTTCAGCTTCTTGTGTTCAGGCTAGTTCTCCATCTCCATCTGTTTACACCGAGTTATTTGTCCTGGATGAAGTTGGCAGTGTGGAGGCGGGGCGCAAGCGTGTGAGAATACCTTGAACTAAATTTGACTTGCCGGGGTTTTGGTGGATTACATTGTCTCTGCACTGCCTGCTGGTCCCTTTAATGTACTGCAGTCATTCAGTTTGTAGGAAATCGGTGTCAACAGTGTAGCGATTTTTTCGGTGGTTGGGTTCTGTCACGTGACGCACCTTGACCATTGCCGATTCCGTCTCCACTAATAACGAAACAAGGCGGCTGCTATTCTCGTAACAACTCAGCCACAGCAGAGCTTACAGGCGAGGCTGATGACTAAGCGCAGAGTCTGTATAATTTGCATCTTCTGCCCCGGCAGTTTACGAATTGCAACATGTTTGTTGTTGTGCGTTTATTTTTCGATTCAGCTGTTGATCGAGATGTCCCGACAATTATTTTCGACAGAGTGGAAATGCGTGTCGTTTGCAGTGATCGCCAATGCAGTATTTAGAATCGAAATAACTAATAACGATAAAAAACACCTCACATCCAGAGGACTGCGAATATATCTTGCTAAATTGGATCTAATGAAGATGCAATGACTTGTTAATTTGCATTGGATTTTAAAACGAAGCATATCCTTGTAAAATAAACGCAGAACACTCAAAACGATAGATGGAGGAATTTACCAGTGTTTTAGACGCAGAGGTCTAGGATGAACAGTTATAAGGAAATGGACCTTGAACGCATAAACCTGTGTCTGTTAGCTCTTCCTGCACTCTCCAGAGTAGGATACAGCACCGTTAAAATTAGAGCTAATCGAAGAACAGGCTCATTGTCCACAGTGTTACACCTGGAAATGTATATATCTTTTGCACTGGAGCGAGAGTAGGGTTTAACAGCATGTCAGTGATAGTCAAATTGGTGGTGACACTATCTTCAATCCCAGGAGTGACCCACTGGAATTGAAAGGGATTTGTTTCCAGGTTACAGCCTCTTGCTGAAGTGAGAAGACAGACCCTAGCCTTTAGCACAGCTGTGTTGGGACATTTCTTTTAAAATCTGGGTGATATTAAATATTGGTAGATTGTGGAGATGTGCTTTGTAAAAATATGTCAGTCTGTTATTGGATAATCTGACTAGAGCTGTGCGGTGGTGTTGTACTTCTCTTATTGCAGGTTATAAAGCATGAATTGCTCTTGATAACCCTGCAGCGAAAGGGAAAAACAGAAATGCAAGCATTGACTTCAAATAACATCTGAAGGAAAAAGGTGTTGAAATGATTGATTTATTAGGCTTGGAATATTGTCGGTGAAGTGGGTGAACATGGTTAACATGGTGAATGAAGTATTTTTAAGACATCATCTGAAACTGGGCTAACGTGTCGTTCAGACCTGGTATGCAGCCCAGGTCAGACATCCTCCAGGCAGAGGACTGCAGAGTGTGCACCAGGGATGGGTTTTCTGTCTTTGGCACACTGCTTTAGTGCCTGTCACAGCAGACAGCTGTGAAATAAAATTCAGTTGGCTTTAATTTTGGATCAAAAAAAGATTTGAGAAAAGGGAGGGAGAAGTCTAGCTCTGGGCTTGTTTGTTTCTGATGTCTGATATCATTACACAGCACCTTAATCACAGTGGTTGCTTATGTTTGTGTTTCGCTGGCTTTCTAGCAAGATATCTGAAGCTCGCGCTCCCAGCAGGCTGTGCACTTCACTGCGCTGATATTGAAGTTCTTAACGTGAAGTTTCAGGAAAACCTCGGAGCTGAAGTGAGCCAGTCTTCCAGGTATTATGTCTTGAGACAGCAGGCGTGGTATAAACAGAAGACATCACAGTTCTTCATACCTGGAACTTCGACTTCTTGTTGCTACAGTTCTTATTGTTCTGTAATATGATTTTCACATTTTTAAAATGTTACAATGTTATAAACGTGCGTCTGGTACAGTCAAACACAAAACACACTTGCTCTTTCTGACAGGACCAAGCTGTGTTATAGAATGTAAACTTCAACACAGACGTAATCCATCCAGCTATACAGCCATTTAGAAAAATATTCATTACCATAAAAACAACCACGGAGGACCGATCTGTTGTTTCACCAGATGGACTGTAAAAGGCTTGTTACATTAGCTTTCCTTGATGTAAATCATTTAGGAATCCTGTCAAGTAAACATACTCTATTTAATATGATATCTTTAGGTGTGTATGAACCCTTTAAGATAAAACAATGTGGCTTCCTGAAGTCTGTGTCATGGTTTACTGTATCTCTGCACGCTTCACCAAATCCTTTACACCTACCCTGTGTTGAATGGTGCTTTAGTGTTTGTACTGTGGCCAAGTCTTTGTATAAGAGCTCTCACACACTACTGGAGTCAGGCTGTTTCAAACATGACACGGTACCACCATTTCTCACTGTTCCTCCTCTCTAGCTACAACATGTACATGCAAAGACAGAGAATTCTCTGGTAAAACCTGTTTGATATATGGCAGGGTAGGGTTTTTATTGACAGGATATGTAAATAGACAGCTTTTATTGTATTGTAACTATGAGAATCTGTCCTCTGTCGTCCCCCTTGTTGAGGTGTGAGGAAGAACCCTGAGACTCTCCTCAAACCCGTTGTCTGATCAGGAGTGCCCGACCAGCTGGTTCAGGAAAATGTGAGAAACATGTCAAGTGTGAATCTGTGGTTTTAGAAACGGAAGGGCCTGAAATCAAAACAAAATCCAGGCGATACCGGATCACGCACTGCCAACTCCCGATCCAATTTTGTCATTTGGGACAACGAGGACGTAAGCAGGCTTGTACCCAGCACAGTCTTCCCACGGGGCACAGGCCGCTGAGCGGAGCGCCCGGAGCACTGAGACCGGCGGTGCTGCTGGCTGGACTCTTTCGAAGGTCCGAGGTGGTTGATGCGATCTGTATCTCTTTGGAGTTCCCGAGAGGGCTTGTCAGGGGGCTGCTCAGAATTCCTGCTGTCGGCAAGTGGGGCACCCGCAGTGCGGAATGTGGGGAACCGGCTCCCAGCCGGTTCTGGGTGGAAAAGCGGAAGGCGCTCGCTGTTCCTGACAGGAAAGGCGTGGGGCTGGTTTGTGGATTTGCTCTTGATGGCAGACCTGTCTCTTTGTGTCCGTGCTCCTCTTGCTGTCTGTCCTCTGTGAAGAAGGTCCAGCTGCTCCCCCACTGACACCACCAGTGACATCAGCCTCCTATTTCCTGAGCTTTCATGGCTGCGATTCCACTGCCTTGGGCGTTTCCTGTCAGGGCTTGCCGTGACGGTCCAGATGGAATTGTATGGATCCCTTGAACTTGATCACAGTGAAGGTGATCCCACTGCCTGCGATCATCCTGTTGGGAAAAATGGGGGACAGACTTTAGGGTACCTTTTGCTCCACTTGTAGTGGGATGGGCCCAGCTGGAAGAGCAGGAAGAGGGCTGCTCTGTCACACATGCACACACGACCTGTGGTGTAAACACAACCGGCTCTACCAGGCAAATTGGAAATGCTTTCCTTCAGATGTGTAAAGAGAAGGAAACAGTTACAGATAAGGGTGGTTTTTCCATCTGCTTTCCTTTTATCTGCTCTTGAACTGACTCATCTGTTGATCAAACTGAAGTGTCATGCTCTGCATTTTGAAAGTGAACTCCCTTGTCTCTTTCAGTGCGATACAGTAAATTTCCATCCTGGGTCAGTTACGGGTTCGTTTCTCCAGAGGTGAAGGCAGGTTCCAGTTTAGGCTGGATCTGCTGCCAGCCCTCCTTGAAACCAACAGGCTCTTGCAGTTTTCCCAGTCCCACCCAGTGAGCAGGCAGGCAGCTGTACAGAGTCTGTGGGCAGACAGCTCTGATGAGGTGCGATGTCAAACTAACGCAAGCTGTTTCCGGTTGACACCACTGGCCTGTTGCCATTAACACTTGAAAGGGTTTGCTTGCTGTTTCACAGAGAGAAGAAAGCGATGTTCTGTCTTCTGGATGAGGTTAAATTAAGCCTGCCATTGCAGCTTTCCTCTCTCAGGCTGTAGCGGCTGAAAATACACAGACTGCTCTATAAATACCCCTGCACATGCTTCCTCTGCGCGGAGCAGGGGAGGACGGATTAGTGCTGCTGTACTCGGAGGGCCTTGTGACCAGGGCAGGGGTGGGTTTCTCACAGGCTGCTTCTGTCTGCTGTAGGGTGCCACTGTTTTGCATTGTTGTTTTGTGTGTCTTAACACAGAATTTGGACTCTAAAAAATACTACAAAACAAAGGGAAACAGAGATCATACAGATCCTCCACATCCAGTGTCTTCTTGTAGAGGTTAGAGGTTTCAGAGGTTCATTCTGGAATTCTCATTAATTCGAGAACCTTTCACCCTGACCGTATCAAGAGGAATTCCACGATATTGATTTCACGAGGAATGTACAGCAGGTTTATGGTTTGTCTGTCTCAATACCAGTGACTGTTGTTTATAAGGCTTTTTGTGAATGAGGAGCTATTTCATGTCAGTAACTCGTACCCAGATCAGATTTTTTAAAAATCACTGCATTGTAGATGAAAATGAGATATTAGTCCCAATTAAACCTTATTCTAGTAGTATACGCATTTTGCATAAAATGATACGGTTGTTAACTAACCGTTTTCATTAATTCTATGCATAATCTTTCTGATACTCTGATACAATCTGTTGGTGTGTTTCTGGGTGTCTTGCTGTTGTGCTTGTAGAGTGTGAAGAACACGTGTGCCCTCTTGTGGCAACATGAATATAAATGTCTTAACACGGGAACTCTCCTGGTTTATGGTTGGTCAGCATTTCTTTGGCACAGGAGCTTTGTGAAAAGAAAGAAGAATAAATCAGCCGATTCCAAACCTTCGTCAGATGGTTAACTTTTTCATCTACATCCAGAGACATAGAAAGGGGGTTTAAAACGTAGGAGCAGCTGTCAGTAAAGTCTGAGCCCGCTCTGAGTGCTCTGACTGCTGCTCGCCATTGTGACTTACTCTCCTTTGACCTCCAGATCTCATCAAGATCTGGTGATGCCTGTGTCTGGTTTGAGGTCAGATGACAGTGGTATTATTGGCACACAAGTCTGAAACTGTGCCATGGCCCATACCACTGACCACTGACCACTGACCACTGACCACTGACCACTGACCACTGACCACTGCTGGTACGCCTTCACCTGTGGATTCTGTACAAGGGGTGAAATATGAACTTGACACTTGTTGACAGTATTTCACCCACGGTGTTCAGTAGTCCCCATGTCATTAGAACAGGACTTTGTCCTTTTCCAGGATTCCTTATATGCGGATTGTGTGTCCGCCAGGCAGCAAGCCAGGCAGTGTGGGCACGATGTGTGCTGCTCGTGTGGTCAGCCTGTTGTGTGTCGCAGGTGCGTCGAGGCCCTGATCGTGTACTTCCGGTCTGGAAAGGGGGAGGAGCCCTACGTCACCATCTCCAGGAAGATCCGGCTGAAACACGGCCAGGGCACCCCCACGGAGTGGGAGATCGGGCACTCGGAGCGCACGCTGGCAACGCACCGCAACGCTTTCAAGCGCACCGCCGTCATCCAGGCCTTCCTGGGCTCCGCCCCCCAGCTCACCCTGCAGCTGTACGCCACCATCCAGGAGAAAGGCCTGACGGCCACCACCAGAGGTCAGGCCAGCCTCCCTGCCCCCTGCCCCCTGCCCCCAGCACGCTCCCGGGGTGTGGAGTCGCACAGCTCTGACGTCTGACACGCCTGCCTTTCTGCTCTCTTTCAGTCGTCCTCATGGCCATCGCGCTGCTCTCCATCACCTACGGCGCCCTGGTCTGCAGCACCCTGGCCATCCAGATCAACTACGACGACTACAAGTATAGGCTGCGGCTGCCGGCCTACGCCTGCATGGTGCTGTGGCGTGGTTTGGAGATTGCCACTCGCGTGACAGTGCTGGTGCTCTTCAGCACGGCGCTGCCCGTCTGGGTCGTGCCCGTGGGGCTGGCCAACCTCCTCTTCCTCTTTTTCCTGCCCTGGGTGGAGTTCTGGGCGAAGAGGGCGGCGCTGCCGGAGAACGTGGAGAAGAACTTCAGCAAAGTGGGCACCACTGTGGTGCTGTGCCTGGTCACCTTCCTCTACGCCTGCATCAACATGTTCTGCTGGTCAGCCGTGCAGCTGGACCTGGCCGACAGGGACCTCATCGACAAGTCGCAGAGCTGGGGCCGCCTGGCCGTCTACTACGTGGTGCGATTCGCGGAGAACACCATCCTCATCGTCCTCTGGTACTTCTTCAAGACCGACTTCTACGAGTACATCTGCGCCCCGCTGCTGGTGGTGCAGCTGGTCGTCTGCTACAGCCTGGCCATCCTCTTCATGCTCGTCTTCTACCAGTACTGCCACCCCTGCCGCAAGCTCTTCACGCACAACGTGGCCGACTGCCTGAGGTGCGTCTGCTGCCGAGAGAGGCCCCGGGCCCTTCCGCCCCCGTCGCCAGCAGCCCCTGACCTCCCCTGCGAGCCGTGTGCCCGTGAAACGGACATCACCGACGACGCCATCATGGACGCAGCGTGAGCTCCCCCTGCTGGTGGGGCAGACTCGTGTCAAGCCTGGTCTCGGCGGGAAGCTGCGGAGGCCTTCTGTGCGCTCCTCACTCCGGGGCGGCTGGTGACGGGGGCGAGGAGCGCAGCTCACTCACTGGCGCGTCTTCGCTGGAGCCGCCGGGGGCTGGCGACCCGACGGCGAACCAGGACGTCTGGCAGGAAGCGCTGCCTGCATGTTTTAAATAAATGCAAAATTGATTTTTGATTGGAATCACTTTTTTGCTCTGGCTTGTTTGGAACCGTCGTGTAGGCAAAACCTTAATCACGATTCTATATTTAGGTAACTCAGGTGAAAACAATGTGTTACTTTGCCTTGTAATGTTTTTCTTTTTTCATTTTTGATTCTCACGGCCTGTTGACCTCTGGAGACCAAAGAAGGTGTTCTACGAATTTCTCAATAATAGCCTCAAACATCAACATTGAAATACTATATTGGGGGACCCTTTTCATTTCAGGATTCATAGGCAGTTTGGTGCCAAATTCCCGCAGTGAGTGGGAGACGCAACCTTTACGAGAGCCACTGTTTCACTAGCAGCTGTCCAGGTGACCAGGACTCTTTCCAAGGACTGACAAATCCCTGACAAAACGAGACATTGTCACTGAGGGGTATTTCCAGGAGCTGTATCCCAGAGGTCTGGCTTGAAAATGTCAGGATCTCCGCACTCAAGCCAATTACAGACAAAGGCATACCCTAAAAACAAACCTATTCAGAATGTCATTTTTGCTGTTGCTCAGAATACAATTTTCACAACTGAACAGGCTGCGATGTAGATTTTGACAGACTGGCTGAAATGACACACAGCTCCTCAGGAAGGCTGTAGTACGCATTCACCTGCCAAGTCGTTACAGAATGGTACTGCATATGACTCATCCTATTTGGAAAAAAGCTAAATGGCCCAATATCTTGTATAAACCAAGGCTGTAACGCAGTAGCAAACCTGGTCTTCTTTTCGGTGTTCAGTGCTGAGAGAAAGATGGCTGATGAAAGTGATCTGACAAAAAAGGTACAGCCTATTGGTGCACGTATATGATGCAGACCTGAAGGCAAGAGCAAACCTGGATAATGTCAATCCAGGTAGCACATAGGGGTTGACTGGAAGTGATTGGTGGACACAAACCACTCTAACCAAATTCATGCTGGGTTGCAGCATCTGCTGTTGGCTTAGTGATCTGGTGTTTCCAAGGACATCTGTGACCCTGCAGTGGAGCCCATGGCACAGGCTGGATCAGAATGCTGTTAGGGCCATTCTCTATTTATTAGGTAGAGCAGAACGCATTTGATACATAAAATGTGCACAAGTATAAGAGTTTGTACAAATCCACTGGAAAGATCTAGGTGTAGAAGGGAAAACCCTAAAACCGAGTACCACTTTCCTCATACCAGACCTGCCACCACAATTAAACAATTGTCTGCCTTTGAGTTTCTTGACCAGTCTGTCAGGTATTCCTGAGCAGTGAGCACGGAGCTCAGTGTCAGGCTGTGACTGTGACTGATCGTTGTTTTACAGGTGTGAGCTCAGCAGTGTTAGATATGGATGAGTCCAGTCAGGTCAGCTGTGGTAAAGTCCTCTGTCCGCTCACTGCCTGCTCTGCAAAACATGGCGTGAGGTGTGGGGTCAAGGTACATACGTGTAACATGCCCATTAGAAATATAATCAGTTCAAATACGTTTTTGTGATTACATCATATGCAAGTATTCAAACCAGTTTTCGCTGGGGTTGTGTCAGTATCGCAGTATGCCTTTTGTGTGTCATAGCTGGACGTGAGGTCTAATGTTTCTAAATGCACATATTCGTGTTTTTTTATCAAAAAGGTCTGAATGAGTGAAGCTAGTCTGCCTGTGGAGGCTTTGCTCATGTGCAGCTGTCTCCGTTTACCTCTTCCTGTTCTGCAGGTAAGGGTGAAAAGATGAGGCGGTTTCGTTACAGTCTGGTTCCAGAGAACAATCTCTGGATTGCTGCACAACACTTGACAGACGTTTCCATGTAATTGAGAAACGTAGATAGGTGACAAACAAGAGGGGGCTTGTTTGGTTTGGAGTAGCTAATTGATCACAGGATCTCATTCAGCTATGTGGCTGGACAACTCCTGGCTCCCACATGTCTCCCGTCCCAGGTGTCCACTGAACGTCATGGTCACTGGCTGTTCTAAAAGCCTGAATTTCTCTGGGTCACTATCGACACAATGAGTTGACACGTAGTGAAAGAAATGTGTTTTAATTCAAGTTTACACTGGAGTGCCCATCTACTACTTGTACTTGTCTTTTGTACCTGCTTTTACAAATAAAGCTGTGTGAAATCCTGACGGTTAAATGTTCTCTTGTCCTTCGTTCCATTCGCTGCCAGAAGGTGGCGATAAAGACCCGGGTTCTTCTGAAGAGTCCGAAAGAAAAACGATCTAAAATTCAGCACCAAATGTTTTATCGGCAACAGTAAATCAAGACAACCTCTCTCTTATTATCAAATTCGTAACAGTAGAGTGTTTTTGATCACAGTTCGCTTTTTCTTGTTTTTTTTTTTATATAATCCAAAATAGTACCCAGACGAGATCTGGTACTTTTCCCCTATACTGTATATGGGAATTTGTGAATTGTCGTCTAATTTTTATTTATACTGAGATCAAATGCTTGAGATACTTGAATGTGTACAAAATACCTTTTTCCGCAACTACTGTGAGCATCTGTTCATTTTCCACTTGGTTGTGTAGAAGTACCATGACTTATTTACGAGCACAAGAAGAGCGCACCAACAGGTGAACCTATACACACATTCCTGCTCACATAACTGAAAACCTCAGAGCAAAGCCAAACAGAACTTACAACTTTCCCAGCTGTTCTGTGATATACATTAACGGATATGAATTAAGATCCAGATGTTCTCATTTCGTTCACAACTTTAATTATTGAATTGAATTAACCTGTATTAACCTTCCCCCAAAGGGAATTTGTCTTGCACTTCAAAAGCTCACAAACGTGTAACAATGAATGACAATAATACAAAAAGACAGCAGTACAATATCATAATACAAAACACCATTCAACAACATCGCTCAATCAGAACTCTTCCAGTCCCACAGAGTTAAAAAATAATTTGCTTAGGAAAGTCTAAGAACAATGATAACAATAAGAGCCTCACCTGCAAACATTATATTCATTGTTCATCAATTGAATGTTTTTTGGTATAAAGGAAGTAAATGCTTTCTGAGTCTTTATATGCGACTCCTCCCAGAGGGTCTAAATCAGTCTAGTTTCTAATAATGGTGGATGAATGGGCTCATCTAAGATTTTATGTGCAAAATTAATAATGTGTCGCTCTGTTAGACATCTTATGGAGTCCGAGGATGTGTCGCTAAGCTTTGCCTCAGTCCCGATCACTTTGTTCAACTTGTTTTTGTTCTGCAAGTACAAGGCACCTCCGCAGCTCCGAACCCAAAATGTAGAATTCTTATAAAAGAGTAAACCTTGTGGTTTTTTTTACGTTAAAACTCATTAACTTCATTAAAATATGCCACCTTTGTTGCGCCTTCAACTTTTTTTTTTTACCGTATTGACTGTTCATGTCAACTTACAATCTATAATAATGCCAATGTATTTATATTTACTGTTTTCAATGTCAGTTCCATTAACCGTTACAGGGGTTACAGGGATTTCCTTTGTTTTGTTTGAGTTTAAAAAAGATGTATCTCCTGTCTACTGTTTTCGTCATCATGCAAATGTGCAAATGTCCAATCAGGAAGAACAGCTGCTTCAGTTCACTAGTTTTTTACACATTCAGTCCCAGCGCGATGCCAAATCCTCATTGTACAGGATACATTCTTATTATCCTCATTTATTATTAACTAACTAGACGAAACCAAGATTATTCGGGTTTTCAGCAGATTTGTGCAGCATTGATAGTGTGCAGTACATACTGTAGGCTCGCAGTTCCACTGGCTGTCGGATGAGCTAAAACTTTCCGATACGCAAGTTATGTCATCATATTTTGTCTTCGCTTTTCCGGGAACTAGATGAACTATGAATCTATGAAAACCCAACTTCACATAACGTTTAATTTTTTTAAAAAAAGTTTTGTTTTCATTATTCTCATCCCCTTTCGTTGTTTCCAACCTGTTGTGTCCTTATTATGGGCATGAGATTGCGGGAATTGTCCAGGAGAAAAAATAAAAATAATTCTTAGACCGTTCTAGTTATGTAACATCGCATTTCGCTATATGGTGGGCTGAGTTTGGATTTATTGATGAACTGTGTTAAATAAAAGACTTAATAACTAAACGCGCATTTCAAACGGCGGAAAGTCCTACATTTTGACTTTTGACTTACGGGCTCGGGATGCTTCTTTGCGCTTGCAGAAGAAGCGCTTCGGCCAAGTTCATTCTGCCATAAAACGTTTCCTGAAAGATCTGTAGAACTTCCTCCGCACTCTATAGACAGAACGATTTATAAAACAAAAAGGCTTCGTTGAAATTGAGAGAATGACCAATAAAAATACAATGCAGCATTGTTTTTTTTAAGCCCTGTTTCCTGCATGCCGCAGTTAAAGGGAATTTTTGCAGTCAGCACTCGAACGGGTCCTGTTCCGTGCGCCCAGCCCGCCCCAGGGTGCGGTCCAATGGGTATTTAAGTACCGGAGTGCTGCAGCTCAGAGCAGCAGTCCCGACTGAAACAAAATCGCACATCAGACCTGCAGACGCAAGTTACCACCATGGGCAACTGGATTGTGAACCACGGGTTATCGGTTTTTATACTGGTGAGAACAAATCTGAATTATTATTATTATTGTTGTTATTATTATTATTATTAGCACGAGAAATAGAAGATTATTTGTATTAAGAAAGAAGACGAAACGCATGAAATAGGAATAAGTTATAGGTTTATTCAATGCTGAAAAGAGAAGAAAAAACAGCGTTTCGGCCGTGGAGCCGTCTTCAGGTGTGAAATAGGTGTAACGTAGAATATTAACTGACTTACTGTTGTCGCTCTCATTTCTGTAATACACGAGATACATTGTTTTGGTGGTGTCTGCCTTTTAAGACTGTAAAGATTAACTGCTTAATTCTCCTTGCTCAACCAGTGCCAGTCGTGTCTTCCAGTCCCCAAGTTAGTCATTAACCTGCCTTGAGTAGTGGGAACCTGCCGATCCCATACTTTTAAGGAATGACGCTGAAATCACTTTTTGTCGGAAGAAATCGCTTTAACTGGAAAGATACGAGTGTCAATTTTCCCTTGAACTATGTAGCCCAGTTCTATGTTCTGAGAGAGTGTGGAACTCTGTTTTGAAATGCTTGTCAATGGTTCATGCAGTTCTATTTTTTCCTGTTTAGGTGATTTGGATGGGAATCAACATATTTCTGTTTCTGTACTACTATTTTTTCTACGATCTGGGGGACCAGTATGTCTACACCCGACACCTTCTGGGGGTGAGCACAGCCATGAACTTGCCCTTTAACACAGCCCTGTGGTTCGGATATTAACAGTGCCTTTCATGTTGGTTACTTTCTTTGGCACAAATGAAATGAAATCCTTTATTCAGCTAAGAAGGAGGGTACTGTGGGCGGCGCAGTGATTAACACAACGGCTTTGAGGACCTGGGTTCAACTCCCGGGGTGCTGTCTGTGCGGAGTTTGTACATCCCCCCCGGTTCTTGTGGGTTTCCTCCCGCAGTCCACAGACATACTGGTAGATGAATTCGATCCTGGGAAACAGGTGTGAATGTGTGCATGTCTGTGTCTGTGTCTGCCTGACCTGCCATGGCCTGGTGTCCTGTCCAGGGTGTAGCCTGCCTTGTGCCCGTTGCTTGCAATGGCTGACCCTGCGCTCTGACCCCCAGCTTCTCTGCCTGTCTGTGTGCCTCATGGAGAGCAAGCTGGGGTCTGCGAAAAAAGATAATTCCTAGTGCGAGAAATTGTAAAGGGTTAATAAAGTGATGTTTTTAAAAAAAAAAGATTAGAAGATGAATAGAAAGGTATTTCTATTCCTTAACTGATGGTCGTGCTCTAGGGAAGTTAAAACGCTGATGGTTTTGTTCCTGAAGGTATGGGCCAGAGACGGCGGGCCTGTCTGTGAGGTGCGGCCTGGCTCAGTGTGTGTCAGCTGCCCCAGGAAGGGCCACAGCTGGACCTCAGCAGGGGGGCTCCCTGGGCTGAACCCGCCCTCTCCGCCCTCGTGACAGCCACGGCGCCCCGCGCTCTCCGCACACTGCGGTTCCTAACGCCGCTCTTTTCCGTTGCAGTCCGCGCTGGCGTGGGCTCGGGCGCCGGCCGCCGTGCTCAACTTCAACTGCATGCTGATCCTGCTGCCGGTGTGCCGGAACCTGCTGTCACTGGTCCGCGGCTCCTTCGTGGTGAGCGGCTCTCCCGCCAGCTCAAGCCTCTTGTGCTCTTAGCAATCGCCAGGGAACTGCGCTGCACTTTGACTCGTTTTACTGTTCAATATAAGCAGTGGGGAGGCACAGTGGGGTGAAAGTCAGCACAGCTCTTTAGTCCTGGGTTCGAGTCCAGCCTGGGTTTGCACTGTGTCTCCGTGGCTCTGTTTGAGTTTGGTCCAGAGCTGCTGGCTGGGTCAATGAGAGTGCCTGCTACTGTGCCATGTGAGGGACGGGTGTCCTGTTCTTCTAGGACAGGCTCTGGGTGACCACTGCCCTCACGTTCAACAGGTAGAGCACACAGGAAATGAAGCAGTGCTCGCAGTGTGTGCATGTGTTGTGGTCCGTTGCGGTTGTGTCTTTCTCACAAGCCCCCTCCTGGTATTTCAGTGTTGCGGACGGTCTATGCGGAAGCAGTTGGACAAGAACCTGACTTTCCACAAACTGACAGCCTACATGATTGCCCTCATGACGGGTGAGCACCTCCCCGCCGCCAGTCTGTGTGTCTCTCTGCTCTTCTCTCCATGTGGCTCCGAAATGTGTGGCTTGACAGTCAGTGTGTTACTGAGCTGGGACTTGGTGCCATGATAATTACTGTTTCTTGGCATTTTTGATTTACAGTACATTACAATAGCATAACATTACACCCTCTCTGCCCTTAATATTCTCCTTTGTCTGTACAATAAAAGGTGATTGTGAGATTTAGATCCATTCCCTGAGTTTCTTTCTATATGAGAATATATCAACCAGATAACGCTTTTGTGTTACTTAAAACAGGCGCACAGTACTTTTGCTGGACTTCTGTCAAAAAGCATGCCTGCATTTTGAAGCTATCACATACCCACACTAGTATTCATACAAAAACCTGTTTAGACTGCCTGGTGGAATACATGCTTTGTTTCCTCATTAACTGGAAAACAAGGGGCCTTTTGACTGATAAGCTGATGACAGTTTATGTCATTTAACAATTCTGAATATGCAAAATGTGCTGAATGGCCTCTTCTTGTTTTGTGACGCTTTGCTATGTGTAGTGAAGTGTGTAGTTGTGTTTTCACCAGGTTGCACACACCCTGATAATTACAGTGGAAGGGAAGAGGTGTGTGGCTCCCTGTTGTCACCAATATATTGCCAAAGCCTCGAATTTTGTCACTGTGAAAGGAACATTTCAAACGCGTTGAAATGCAATCTGGATAGTACAAATTCAATCTGATAGAAATAAATGCAAATAATGCTTTGGAATCAACAGTTCTCAAGGTAGTTTGCACTGATACCCAATGCAGTGACAATTAAATTCTCTGCTGAGTTGTGTAAGGGATCCCAAACACCCTCTCTCTGCTGTCTCCTCGGCCCAGCTGTCCACATCATCGCTCACCTGCTGAACCTGGAGTGGCTGAACAACAGCAGACAGGGAGAGTACGACACCCTCAGCACTGAGCTCTCTGAGCTGGGAGATGTGCCTGACGAGAGCTTCCTCAATCCCATCCGCTCCAACAACACCGTGAGTCCTGCTGCTTTTCAAATTCACTCGGAGTCACACAGCTGAGTGCCTTTCTGTGAATGGCCATCAGCCTCTAGAAGCCGGCGCATGTCTCTTAGAGCCGTGCATGGCTGCATTTGTTAGTGTGTTGTCTTGCATCGCAGATCTAAGAAATTGACAGATTGTTCTTTTGCCCTTTCCTGCTGAGCTGTTCAAGAGAGCCGCCTGTGTTCGCAGAAAAAAAGGTCTCAAGGAAGGCAAGACGGTCAAATAGTTAGAGCACAGGAGTCCAGGTTGTTAAGCTATCAAGATATCCAGCTAGTCTGATGACTTAATTAACCTGCAGATAACCCCAGACATAATATTTGACAGCTGGTCATCGAAACCCTCAAAGAACATCAGCAACTGCTTAAGATTTAAACAACTTGTAGTTCCTTCACTCCATTGAGGTGTTCATGCTCTTGGGTGGTGTTACTGGTGTTCTCTTGTGATAGCAACCTTACCCCGTAGATGATTTCAATGGCAAGCGATTGCGAGTGAAAACAGATTTCACTTGACTATAATTGGGTCGAGTAAGACGCCCAGAGTTCAGGTTGGGGCAATAAACCGGCCTGTGAGCTGCCCCGAGTGGGGCTGTGTGCAGGGACTGACAGTCTGGTCTGCCCCTCGTGTCTCAGACTCCCACGTACGTGGCGTTTACCACCATTGCCGGCCTCACGGGGGTCATCATCACCTTGGCCTTCATCCTCATGATCACCTCGTCCATGGAGGTCATCCGGCGCAGCTTCTATGAGGTCTTCTGGTACACCCACCACCTCTTCATCATCTTCTTCGCTGGGCTGGTCTTTCACGGAGCTGGGTAAGCAGCAGAGAGTCAGCCAAGCACTTTAGACCACAAGGCTCCACATGTGATAGAGCTCTTCTCTGCAAAGACAAGGTTGTGTTTGTCCGCAAAGGGCACTCCTGTGTTCTGTGTCCTGTGTTCTAATCTTAACTGAGAGCCAATTTAGGACGTAATTCCCAGCAGGGATCTGCTCCTCTTTGTGACACTTGTCCCTCCGCCTCTTCCAGGCGGATTGTGCGCCAGCAGACAGAGGACAGCATGCTGCTCCACAAGACTGCGGTCTGCAGCAACCAGTCCTTGTACTGGGGCAAGATCGAGGAGTGTCCCATCCCACAGTTCAAAGGAGGGGAGCCAGGGGTAAGACTCTCCACATGCTGGCGTCGGCACCCCCTGAGCGCAAATCTGAGAACAGCACACTCCCCTTGTAGAACTGGTTACCTAGAATCGTAACTGTTGCCAAGCTTTTCAGCTGACACTTATCCAAAGGAACACTCTTGTTCCTGGATGTGCACCCCCATGTACACAGGTGGGTATTTTACTGGGGCAATCAGCTGAAGCACTTGGCTCAAGAGCACATAGCAGTGGCTCAGCTGTGGGATTCGAACCCACAACCTCCCAGTTGTGAGTCCAGTACTCTAACTGTTGACATATTTATCATTAATAATAATAATAAAAAATGAAAGATTTACAATTTGATATTAAGCAGCTTGGTAGAAAGATTGGATTTTATTTCACTTGAAAATTAAACCTTATTAAAAAACAAGCAACATGTGTGGATATGCCTTGATACTAATCTGAGTTAGGCAAGTGACTCTTGTCTCTGCCTCTTTTCCCCCAGACGTGGAAGTGGGTGTTAGGACCCATGTTCTTGTACCTGTGTGAACGTGTGCTGCGCTTTATTCGCTACCTGCAGAAGGTCACATATCGGAAGGTGAGCAGGCAAGAGGTTTCTCTAAATCTGTACAGCTGCGCTCTGATACAGCTGCGCTGGCCTGTGTCCTCGGAGAGGCCCGTGCACAGAGGAGGTGGGAGAGACGTGGGATTCCCAACTCTGGGGACATGGAATTCTGCCGATTTCATCAGCTGTTACGACCGTCATCGTCATCATGATCAATAACCTGTGCCCTCAGATTGTGATCCACCCTTCCAACGTGCTGGAGCTGCAGCTGACGAAGCCAGGGTTCCACATGGAGGTGGGGCAGTACGTCTTCCTCAACTGCCCTTCCGTCTCCCAGCTGGAGTGGCACCCCTTCACCCTGACCTCTGCCCCCGAGGAGGACTTCATGAGCGTGCACATCCGCTCCGTGGGGGATTGGACCCGCGGGCTCATCAGCCAGCTGGAGAACCTGCCCGAGGGGGCGCAGGGGCCCAGGTAAGGGCCTCTGGGGGTCCGGTGCTGCAGTGTGGAAACGGCTCCTGAAGCCACTGGCTCAATAAATCCATGAAGGCCTGGCAGCAGATGGAGTAGCCCCTCGTGATGAGAGCGGTCAGCCAGAATCTGGGTGTGGGTTCGACTACAGGTGTGCAGCTCTGTACAGCTCTCCCGTGGCACGTGCCCTGGATACAGTGCATCATGCCTGAAATCCGTCCTTATCACAATACTGGGTGCACAGAGACATCCAGTGTAAACATACGGAGGAAATGGCCCAAACACACACTTGTATTTGGGGGGGGGGTGTGCTGGCAGGTGTCCCAGGTAGCAGCAGCACCTGAAGAGCTGGGAGAAGCTGTTCAATTGGCCCAGCTAAGCCCAGTAAGCATTGGACACTGCAATACCCTGACCCTCTCTGACTTGGATTCAACAACCCTGGAAAAAAAGCATGAAAAACAATCACTTCTGAGATTAAATTTTACCCCCCTCCCCTCCCCCCCACGCAGTATATTTTTTAAAGCTGTACAGAGCTACAGTATGTGGCTATAAGTTTCAATGGAGGGGTCCTAGGCTGCCGTGTGATTGGCTGTGGCGTGACCTCTGACCTTTCGGTGCCCTCCCAGGATGGCCGTGGATGGCCCGTTTGGCACGGCCAGTGAGGATGTGTTCGACTATGAGGTCAGCATGCTGGTTGGCTGTGGCATCGGGGTCACGCCTTTCGCCTCCATCCTCAAGTCCATCTGGTACAAGTTCAAGGAGTCGAACCCTAAACTCCGCACCAGAAAGGTACGTGCAGGACGCAGGGGAGCCCTCATCTCTCAGCCGATGGAGAACACAGCCCCTGTGGGTTTCTCACGCCTCTGCTGTTTGTAGAACATGACAAAGATCAATCCTCATGTTGTTTCTCTACAGAACAGAAACCGGACAGTCACAAAAAGACACCCTATTAGTAGTTTTCCTGACTGGCAGTGAAAGTGTATTGAACATTGAAAGGTTTAGACTATATAAGCAAGGATTGAAGTTTCCAGTGTTGTTTTTAAAGTAACACTAATTGAAAATTCCCTAATTGAAATGTGTGCAATGCCTTTACAAATCATTACAATTAAATGAGTCAAAGCACGAATCTAAAGTGAACTAACCTGGATTCACAATTACAATAGGGTTGTATTTGTAATTATCAGACTGAATCAGCACACGGTATGTTGAAATGGCTGCCGTGTGATCACAAATTCAAGACATCGGTTGAACTCAATAGAAAGGTCAACTCCTGACTGATAATCGTGGTAAATGGAGTGTCTGTCTGTGTCAGAAGAGCTGTCCTCCAGTAGTCTGAGAGCCTTTCTGGAAGAACTTTATACTGTATATCAGCCTCACAGCATCTCATTTTTTCTTTTGCTCTCTTTAATTAAAAGTTCTAAAAGATGAATGCATGATAGGAATTTTTCTTTTAATACATTTGATTAAACACTTTCTAGCTACTGGATTTTTTTTTACCACTCTCGACATCTCAAGATATCTTCCTAAGACTGTTTCTTAAATGTTTCTTTTTTTAATGCTGCTGTCATGCATCATTTCCTGGTACATGAAGGGGGTTTGGCATTAGTGTAAAAGTAATATCCTCATCTGGAAAGCCCGGGAGTACCGGGGAAGGGCAGGAAGGCAACAGAGGCGTGTTTTGATTTTGTCTTCTCGCTGGGTGGCTGCAGATCTTCTTCTGCTGGGTGTGTCGGGAGACCCATGCCTTTGAGTGGTTTGCAGACCTGCTGCAAGTGCTGGAGAAGCAGATGGAGGAGAGGGGGATGAAGGACTTCCTCACCTACAAGCTCTTCCTGACTGGCTGGGACCACAGTCACGTAAGCACTGGGCATCAGCAGCTGTGGCTCAGAGCTGCGTTCAGATGTGATGGGGGCTTTTCCTCCCTGTTGTGTGCCTAGACTTTTAAGGCCATCAGCACCGCCTTTGTGCCATTTCTTGTCCTTTAGTGTGAGACTGCCAGTCCCTGTCAGGCAACTCCATGACCGTAAGAGGACCTCAGTTTAAACAGGCTTGTAGGCAGCAGTGCGGAGGCTGAACCCTGAACTCGACCACCTTGACCAGCGGTCAAAAAACAGAAAGAATCTGAGTTCCCTTTGCCTTCATTGTCCTTAAGTACGCCAGTTAATACCGAGGAATGCATTTCCATGTGTTGCAGTGCTTTAATAATTTGGACAGGTGTAGAAATTGAAGTGTTGCTCTCTCTGTGCTACTTCAAGAGCAACATTATGCAGAGGGTAACTTGTTCAATGTGGTATCTGCAGAAACCCTGCAGGCATCATTACTCCTGGGCAGTGGGCACTGACAGATTTACAGGTCAAGGTCTGACCATGGCTGTGTCCTCTGTCTCTTGCTGCAGGCTGCTCATGCCATGGTTCACTTTGACAAGGACACAGACATCATCACTGGGCTCAAACAGAAAACTCATTATGGCAGGCCAAACTGGGACAAGGAATTTGAGGAGATCCGCAAGGAAAATCCCACGTAAGATTATCATGCTCCTTTATGCTTCCTTCACAAGATCGTGGCATTGGAACGCAACCGGATACAGATCGTGCGTTTCTGTACCATGCTGTGTATGTCAGTGCTGGCCAAATCATAACACTTCTCATTGCTTTCTAATCAGTTAAACAGCTGGAGAAAAATCACATCATCTGAAGTGTAACAATGACTATATACATTTCCAATACATTTGATGAATAGGTTTTCAAATTGTTATTGTCTTTAGAAATTTTAGGTGAATTCAATTTCCGATAGCAAAATGGACCAAATACACAGAAACTATTACATTCAACTCTTGATTCATCATTTCACTGCTATTTGTGAAATAAGAACATTATCCAGATAATAATGTGCAAATAACTGGCAGTGGGATATGCAAAGGAAGAGCTCACTCACACACACTAATGACTAATACTTTTACTTTCTGACTGATGTGCTGCAGGTCAGTTGTTGGTGTGTTCCTGTGTGGGCCTCAGAGTCTGGCGAAGACCCTGGAGCAGAAATGTGTGAAGTATTCCGATGTCGATCCCCGAAAAGTGAAGTTTTACTTCAACAAGGAGAACTTCTAAGCAGATTGAATTCGTAAACTTCCTTTGAACTCTGCTGTATGGAGACAGTGGCACTCCAATAAGATGCTGACTGCAGCAGCAACAATCTCCACCTCTCACGTTCTCTTTTGCACAAAGACTCATTAAGGAATCAAGCGATCCGGACAGCTGTTTGTGAATTGAAGGCTTTGGTAGCAGGTTTCTGTGGCCCACATGCACAGACTTCACCTTTCCACCTGCACAACTGCTGGAAGTCAGCACACCTGTGTGAATGCTTTCAGGTCCATCACTGAGCTTTCACAGGGGCTCATGAATTATGCACACAGCAAGACAGCAAGCCAGGAAGCCAGGGACCTCAAGTCTGATCGGCACATCTGAGGAGGGCAATTTAAATAGCTTTCAAAGAAATGTCAAGAAAACAGTTTGGACTTTGCACCCTGTGTATTGCTGCAGGACACTCTGAATGCCAATGGGGAACAATCAGTTACTGTCTGGCCCTCCTCAAGATGACAAGCTGGTCTGGGTGACTCATTGCACTCCCTTTGAGGAGTTCCAAGCGACAGTTTGTGTTCCTGGAAGTTCAGAAGTATGGAGTAGAGTTTGATTAGCTTAATCACTCATCCTCACAGTGTGAAACGAATTTGTAATGACCAGATGTTTTCATTTTAAATGTCCCAGCTATAGCATGTACAACTGCTATAACTACATGTATATGCATATACACCAGCTATAACCGTTCCAGGGCAGGACAGGCCAAACTGCTTAAATAGAAGTCAGGCAATGCACCTGATCTTACTAACAGTGGATGGTATTTTCAAAAGAAGAAAGATTCTGCTTATGTTATGTCTTTTGCTTTATATTCCAGGGCTCAGAAAATAATTACCTAGTGCAATTATCTTCTCTGGATGCAGCCACTTCACATAAAAAATGCAGCAAAATAAGCATTGGAGCCAATAGCATTTGTTACATTTTAATGACTCTACAGTGTATTTTTAAATGATTGTCTAGTTTTTAATAGCAGGGTAATGCTCTACTGTACTCACAGTGTTATTAGCCTGATAATTGTATCTGTCAAAACTGACGCTGTATTGTAATGATAAACGTATGAGATAGTATGTATAACTGATTTTTTGTACATTGTCTTTATTGAGGACTAATCTCCTGAATTATATGCGAGTTAAATACCTCAGATAATGATTAGGAATGGAATGACCTAAACGAATGAAAATAATGTTTGCAATGACTTAGAAAGATTATTTAAAAAATACTTTACGTCTTTTACACAAATAAATTCATGGTTGCAAATAAATCGCACCATTGAGTATTTCCTTCCTAGAAGCTGACCTGTTCAATGACCAGTAAAAAATAACGAGGTTACAAAACTATATCCGACTCAATACTTAGCATTCAAATGCCACTTAAGGCTCAATACACCTTTAGAAATAAATAATTTGAGATCCTTATAAACAAACTGAGCTTTCAATCGGTTTCAGATAAATACTCACCGCATACACTGTCCCTTTCACCCCATAACACAAGAGCACGATCATCCCACAGCCCCTCAAAACCACAGTCTAAAAACACCCATAGAAAAATGCATTTTTCTTTTTTTTTATTGAAATACAAAATGGGGGGAAAACCACAAGCTCAGGCAGCACGCTCAATGAGTAGACAGGCTATGGCTTCGTCGATCTTCTATCACGCAGCTGTGCTTCAGCAGAGCAAGAGCTAAGATGTCCGGAGAGACTGGCAGGACCGATCCACATTCCTGCAGCGCGGGGCTGTCCCACACGGAGACTCCAGGAGCACACAGGACAGAGCGCAAAGAACTGCTTCCTCTTAACCGTAGAATCCCTTAAAATCAAAAATGACAGGGAAGCGCCGAGCTACACTGATCTTATTTACAGCGGCACAGTATCCCAAAATCAGATCTCGTGGCCGACGTGGCCCAGGGTGCGACAGGCAGGGCTCTCAAGTGGCAGTTGCGAACTGGGCAGGGAGGAAGCAGGATCCTGTTTCTGCTCTTGAACTATATGCAGCCTGACACAATGTCAAGACACACACGTTAGGAACTTTGTTTCTAGAATTCTCCGTATCATAAAAGTGTGCAATTCAAATACCACCCAATGTGTTTTAGCACCACGTTTTCAGCTGAATTATTTCGAGATGGAAGGTTTTCGTTCACATTTCTTTCTGGGATTTCTCATTTAAGAGAGCTCTTCCTCTTCCTCGCTTCCCCACTGGGCCTGACCTGCTCGCCTTCTCTTGACTCAAGACTGGCACTGCCCCAGCCCGCCCTCCCAGGACATCAGAACAGACACCGACAATAAAAATATCTAACAAAAAACAACTTTAATTACAAAAATGAGATTGAAGTCCTGTTTCAGGATCTCAAGGTGTACAGATGACTCCTCGCCGACCTGCTGTCCAGGTGAAGAATGAGAAACTTGCCTCTGAGAAAAGCCAAGAACTGAAAAACAGGGAAATGGTTTCGTTCAAAAGTCTTTCTACCCAACAAGAGGACCACCACAAAGGTGTTCCAGGAAGAAAGGGGCTGAAATGTGCTCTCTCTGCAACAATGACCAGATTCCTCATGAGGAAACGGGGCACTGCAATTATCATTTTCAAATAACTGCTTTTTACATAACATGCCCACATGCGCTCATGAGGAAACATTTGGGGTTTTGCAAATAAGCAAAAGCTGATTCACTTTGATTACTGCTCTTGATTTACATACCTGCCTGTCTCCGGAATCTGGCCTGTCTTTCCAGATAAGGCAGACATAGTTATGTAACTTCAATGTTGTCTTAGCTTGTCAGTGCCCAATCCTAGAGTGAGCTGTGCAGTTTATGATGAAGTTGTAAACAACACATCCAAACTGAAGGTCAGAGTGAACAGGACTACCTTCTATACACCTCTCCCAACACACCATTAAAAAGTTTCCGCACCACTTGGGTTTTTCCCTCAATGAAACCAATTTTGCTCCCTCTTCAGGAAAAACAATGACAGTGTGGTTTTATCTGGAAGGGCGCCTGGATTGCTGATCTCACTCCCTAGCCACCACATGCAGGCATGCACAGGCCCTACCTCTGCTGCAGTGATTTTATTCTGGGGCCGCCTCAGCTCGCTCTGCAGCGGAGCTGCGCCACCGACGGCTCCTGACCCGCCACCTCACCTCTCGGCTCCCTGCTTCCCTGCGCGCCGGGGGCACGGCCTCTCAGGGCGCCCCGGCCGTCTTCTGGATTTGCTCCTTCAGGATGAGGATACTCTGCCTCTGCTCGGGGGGCAACATGGCGATCTGCTCCGGGGTCAGCTGCAGCACCTGCATGATGAGGGCAGCCTGGCCATGCAGAGAGAGACACACGCGAGGTCAGACTTCATGGTCGGCACAAATCCCTCAACCACCCTCGGCATAAAGCGCACGCCATGGAGAGACAGTTGATTTTGCAAACTCATGATCTGGCTCCAGATATTTCCTTTGATTACGCCGACATGAAACTTATCTGCAAACATCACACACGATGTAATGGTCAAGGGCATCAGCTCAGGAAACACATAGTAAAGCAAACAATGGATCTTGGGTCACAGAAGTCCTGTAACAGTTGGAGAAAACTACATAGACAGTAGATTTGAGTAACGGGCATTCGGGGAGACCACAGGACTCCACCCACAGCTGTCACGATTATCCATTTCAGGAAGGAAAATCAATTTATTTTTAAGTTCCTTAAGGTTGAGTTACTACTCCCCAGAGCTGCTCGTCATTCCAGTTCCTCCACTTCATTCTTACCCCACCTGAAGAGCTTCCACTAAAGGAACAGGTGTGGACAAACGCTATACCTGTGTTTCTGTTTCCGTGTAGCAGGGAATGCAGACATACCACTTCTCTGTTCCGGTAACCTTGCATTCCAGACAAAGAGTGCCCAAATATTGTATATTGTGGAAGAAATCACTAGAATTCTTCCAAATGCAGGGTCTGACAGGGCTATTAGCATCCATAACCTACTAATAAGCCAAAAAAGATGCATTGACTGAACAGCTGCTCTCATCAGTGCTGGATCTCAGGTAACTATACGTCCTACAGTCTCCTGTCCAGCCCAGCGGCCAGGCCCAGCCCCTCATTCCCCCCCCCCCACGCGGTACCTTCTCGTGGTCCTGGGATGTGACCTGGTTCTGAGCCGGGCTGAAGCCTCCCGTCTGAGGAACACCAGGGACGCCAGGAGCCTGCTGGGAGACAGCCACACAGGTCAGCCCGGGGGCACTGGCAGCGAGCTGCTGCTGCCAAAGACAGCCCCCCCAGAACCAAAGCGTGCCCGCGTCCAGCCCCAGGGGCCATGTGACCTCCTGGCCACGGCCCCATGTGAACTTTCAGCTGCCTGCTTGTTAAACCGGCCGTTTGACCTCTTGCACAGGGCGCAAACATCCGTTTCGCGAAACTGAACATACTGTGGCTGCCGCACGACTGTAACTTAAATATAACTAAGCGTTCTGTGCCAAGCAAGAAAACAGTTGGATTAAAGCATTCAAAAAACGGTGTCACAGCTGCTAGCAAGTAATCTCTTGCATTGACATTTGGGTGCACTATGAAAATACAAAAACAAAACCTTCATATAAAACATGCTGCAGTAGATCGACATTATCAGACATGTCTATCTGCATTTCTGTTTCACTTTACTGTAATTGAACCTGAACAGAAAGTTAAGGCTTTGTCAAACACCCTCATACTATGCTGGGTCATGCCTAATGTGCAAAACCTCGGTATTTCAGTAAAGACAAGGAAATTAACCTGGTTCCTGACATGCTCTAATAAAGAAGGGATTGTTCTTTCTTTAGTCTGTGTGGGTGGTAAGTGAGGTTATTTCTGTAATTGTTTAGTCTCTTTAATAACCAACAAGGCCACAAAGAAAAAGGGAATTTTTTTAACATTATCTACCATTTCATCACATTTAAGGTAGTACAAGAAAACTAAAGCCACTCAAACCCCTCCAGTTAAAGTTTCAGAACCTTGACACTTTTTTTTTTGCTACCAAAGATTAATAAGTACAAAATAAAATATCTACTAAAAAAATGAATAAACCAGTAGAATGAGACTTCATGGTGGGGATATCGCAGCAGCCTTCAACACATCACTAATCTGGCTTTTGTTCAGCAGAGATGGCTCAAACTTCACTTTAAGCACCCTTTTTCGGTGGCCCACCGGTGCCTCTGTGGGGCGGAGGGCAGGAGCAGCAGGAGGAGGAGGGGTGTACCTGTCTCTGGGGTTGGGGCACATTCGCTCCCATGGTGTGGGGCACTGGGCCCTGGATTCCGGTTGCCATGGGAACTCTCTGGGCTGGAACGGGGCCCCTGGCTTCAAGACTACGAGCCTCCACCGCTCTGGGGTCACGACCTCCAGCAATTGGAGCTAAACAAAGTACAGGGTTACGAAATGCCTGCCTTCAAACAAAGTCCGAAGTTGGCCTTACAAAGATTGAACTTGGAAACACACATCTGTGACACAGCGACCTGTTTGCTGCAGCTGACTGCTATCTTGTAAACTTCACCACCCCCACTGTGGTTTTAACATTCGACAAAATAGCATTTCAAGCAATAAGTCTTTTTCGCTCACAAAAATACCAAGAACTTTAATGTAGTCCTAATTACTGGCCAACAGAGGAGCAAATTGCAACATTGCAAATGTCTCGAAATACTTAATGGTAAACAGAATCATGGCTTCCTGACAAACTGCCAGCTGAGTAATGTCAGTATTGCTCAGGATGGAATGCGCAATGTAAAACCGAAAGACGGCAAAGCCAATCTGAAATGAGATCTGTCTAAGAGCATAACTCGTTCTTTTTATGCCTGCAGGTGTCCGAGGTCTTGTCTGTGGCTCTTACCTCGGGCCTCCATGGGCGGTGCCCTCTGATCCATCATGGGCCCTCTGGGATCTCCCATCATGCCTCGGGGCTCGCCCATGGGGCCTCCCCTCATGTCGTGGGGCCCGCGCATGTCTGGAGGGGGCCCCCGGCCATCGTGGGTCATGTGCATGGGCGGGCCCTGGTGCGAGGGCGCCCCCATGAACCCCCGACTGAAAAGCACACACACACGGGGTAACACGGTGAGTGAAAAGGGCACCCCAATCCTCAGCAGTGCGCGAAGGGATCGAAAGAGCTCCACGGATCCCAGCACCTGGCTCTCAATAACCTCAAAGCTGACAGACACCACCAGAGGACTGTAGCTCTGCGTTGGCGCTGATCCCTCCCCTGCTTGCTCCCCAGCTCGAACCCCGAGAGTGTGACAGGGGCCGCCCGCTCACCTGGGCTCCACCACTTCGCCCGTGACGGAGAGGAGCGTGCCGCCTCGGGGGTCGTTGGGGCCATCACCCAGAAGGCCTCGTGGGGCCACCACAGCCGACACGGGGGGCACGCCCCCGCGCATGGGCGCCCTGGGGTCCGTCATGGGCACTGCAGGGAGCACACAAGACAGGGCAGGGTGAGGGCACCAGCCGGAAGACACCCCGGGCAGGGTGAGGCAAGACGGCAGACGTCACGACATGGAGGCACTGACACAAAGGTGGCATGAGAGGAGGAGGAGGAGGGGGAGGGAGGGAAGAAGCACATTGCACAGAGAAGACTGCACGCTTCCCAAAAACACAGGCGCTCCCTTCTCCCTGCCAGTCCACATGCTTCTGCCTTCTGTCATTGTTTCAAGTGAAACATGCACAAATTGATTAATTTCTACACAGTGTCACGTTCATCAGTGCTTCTGTGTCTACCACGGGGACTGGGATGGCTACTTACATTTTTTTTAATTACACGGGCTGAAACTCAAAGTATTCCTCACTTCCTCACTGGGACAGTTTTTTTCAGTTATGTTTTTTATGACATTTCTCTTCTGCTAAACAAAACCCTTCAGAAGTGGGCGATGTACTGGGATTGTGGAGTCTTTCGTGGCGATTCGTTCTATTTCAGATCTGCAGCTGGGACCGTGCAATACAGACCGTTTCCATTTCAAGACGAGAAACCTTGGCGCAACGAAGAGGACCCCAGACAGAGTCTTTGCCCTTCAAAATCAAACGAGGCTGTGCTGAATTTCACTGAATCAGAGCTTCACTACAAAAACAGAACAAAACTGTTTGATGAGGGGGAATCCACTTGAAACCAAAATGAGTAAGAAGTTCTACAAAGATCTTTTCATAGAGAAAAAAACATACTGTATTTCCACCTAAAACCGCTGAGTAGCACGGTTAACTTGAAGACTTTGCTCCACAAATAATTCACTCCCAGGTCTGAGCTACGCTCATGCCAACCAGGAATTCATCTTCAGTGCGGCTGTGTGTTAATCCGACACTCCTTCCACTGACTGACCAGACAAAGACGTGCACGCAATCGCAGACCAGAACAAGCAAATGCGCAGCTGACTGACATCAAGAGGAAAGACTGTGAAAATGAGGGGTATTCATAAATCAGACACTTCTGGTCTTCCAAACCTAAAACAACAAATATTAAATTACTGCCAAGTCCTTGACTGAACAATAGGCCTAAGACTGAATCTGTCGAGGAGCAAACTAGAAAAGCAAAACCTGTGTCTTGAGGCAGAATAAAATCATTAAATAATGAACCGGTTCGAATTCAATAGTTATGTAAAAAATAAATTTTGGGGAAAATATTTTAGGGAACCAGAAATGGACTTTCAAAATGCCACAAAGACCAAGTTTACGCTCCTCGTTTTGCAATGGCTATAATTAGGGTACATTGTGCAGAAACCACTCACCACACCTGCACTACAGTAACTGTACACCAAGAGGTAGGGACTTTCAGAAGTGTGCAAAGTGTATTTACTCTTCTTGCCACATGCAATCTTTCCAAATAAAAAACAAAGAAGCCTGATGCTGATAATTAGAAGACATCGAGACCTTGCTGAAAACACTTATTCTAGCTTAGGTTTTGAAAGTTTCTCTTTTTTTTTTTAATCAGAGTCTTGTGTTATTTCCAGCATCTGAATCCAGCAGCCCAGCTGCTCTGGCCAGACTCTGACTTTACTGAGGGTACCTTGTGGCCGTTCGAGTGCAGCCTGCCCTGAGGATCCTACAGGAGAATGCTGAAGGTTTCCTGGGTCAGCAGGAAATAAAAGACAGGAAACAAAGCTTATGAACAAACGGCACAAGGGCTCAGCCCTGAGGCTCACCTATACCAGGTAGCACTTAACACTTGGGTCTGAAGTTTCCAAAGACTCCTAGATTTCCCCCATGCACACTCAGGTGATGGGCATAAAAGTGATATTTTCCCATGCAAATGCTGCTGCCGTGAGCCAAACAGTCCTGTAACTGGTGCTGTACTTCTTGCAGATTGTGAGGCTGTAGTGCCCCTTAGTGGACACAAGCTGTACCAACACAGACAGACAGAAAAGCCAAATAAATGAGGACAAGAAAGACAATCACTCCCATTTCAGCCCCAAGTGTAAAGCGGAACACAGGCACAGAGATAAGAATGGAGAACTCCAAGCAAAGAGCAATGCCACTCGACAGACGAGCACGGATTCCAGCTTCATACTTACCACAGGAAACTTAACAAGAGACAAGGGCTTGCATTAGGGAAGATCTCAGAGTAAAGAAGGTCTTAGTAAGATTAGCTGAAAATAACGTGTTATAACTGTGCAGTGAAATACCCTTAATGTACGAGCTAAGTGGATTCTTAAACAATATTTAAAACAATCCTATTGGACAAAACAAGAGCATGAAAATTGTTTCCCCCCTCCCCCTCACAATATTTAATTTTAGGAAACATCCGTTTTCTTGAGAACAGTGAAAAACACACTTTTATGGACTCTCAACCAGTCCCAAGCCAGGTATTTGTCCATGTTCTCCAGCAGTTTCATCAGTTTCCATTCTTTTTCTACCCGGGAAGGTTCTCCAGGACTGAAGCTCACATCACAGACTCCGGATTGCACACGGGGACAACAGTACACGGAAAATACGTTTTCCTGGGAAACGGAAGCACGCTACCTTGGCCCCGATCCATGGGTACGGGTCCTCCTGGCGGAATGCCGATCTGGGGCTGCATCCCAACTGTCCAAAGCAAACGGGGACAGCATGTCAGTCCAGCTGCAACGCAGGTCTGAGTGCATAAACCCAGCTCAGCGACAGCTGCGCTAACGGTAATAAAGCCAATAAGGGACTAAAGAAGAGACAACAAAGATGGACAGGAAAAAGATACGGAACATTTTAAAATACCAGTGGGGTCTACTAGATTCACACCACCAATTCTGTCCGGTTATGGATTGGAAGACGGCTAAATGGGATTTTCCCAGGAAATGCCCGGGACAAGAAATAAGAATATGCAAATCTACCCAGAAGAGTCCGATTGTGAGACCCGGCTCACATTTTTCTCATCCTTGATCGATAAAGGTCATTATTCGAGCATTCTTGTTTTATCGACTCTTGATTTCAAGAGGGCACAGAAAAACTAGCCTTCAAGGTGTGTTATACTTCTATGATTTAAAGTAACTACAACAAGAGGAGTTAGATTTAAAGTCTGATTTTAAAACTAAAAAAAAATTAAAACGTAAAAAGCCGAGTTAAAATGAAAGCGCTCTGGAGCTCTCAAGGAAATAGGCTCTCCATTCCAGTCGTAGCACAACATCGGCACTTGTGTGCTAAGAAACCTGAAGCAATGTCATGCATAAGGGTCCACTTTTTTCTCTCAAAACCACGTCCTCACCTGCAGGAACCACAGGGCCTTGGCCAGGGACCTGTCCTGCGACTCCACTCACCATCTGAGGGGCTGACATCATCTGGGGGGCACCGTTCACATGCATGCCAGCCTGAACAGAACAGCACAGGACAGCAAGTGGCATTTAGCCTCAGCAGTCATGGAAACATACGAGTAAGTTTACAAGCAAACTGGGTACTTTTACTTCAACTGCACAGACCTCGATTGAAACCTGCATTCAAAATGGACAAAACCAAGAGAGCTTGATTTATTCCCCCCAAAATTCAAATTTGTACTATTTAAAATAATATAAAATTCTCAGTTTCTGAGCACAACGCAGCAGCAGATTTACAGATTTACGGCAGGGCTGGCTCACCATGGGCTGTGGCTGGGACACTGGGACGCTGGACTGGACCAGAGCCTGGTTAGAGAGTGGCCCTTGAGCAGCCTGACTGCTGGGAATCAGGGGCTGGAGTGCTGCCTGGCGGTGAAGCATTTTCTGCAAAAAATGTAGATTTTCGTGAACCTGTTTGCTTAGGGCATTAGCAAAGAAAACCAGGATTTGAAATGCAAGCACAGCGCAGAGTGTCCATGGAAATGCAGAACCTGGAGAGAAAAATAAAAATACTCCCAGATGTACTAAAAATGCAATACAATTACACTAATCTTTTTTTGGAGACTTGAACCACATTATAGAAAACAGGGATGCATTTTGCTTTTTATTGAAAAACTGTTCCTCCAATCCCTTTCAGTAGAGTGCTATTAATCCTCCATGACAAATATGGAGATTTATTTTCCCTTTTGAACCCCAGGCAGGGTCCTTTCCACATGAACATGAGCAAGACGCGAAGCTGCTGTTACCTCCTGAGGAAAGCCCTGTGCTCACCCACACTTGCTTACCAGCGCGATTTCTGGGTCGACGATCCTCATGACCACCTGGGCCTGGAGCAGGGCGTATGCCAGCTGAGGGTTCTGGAGGAGCATGTTCCGGGCCTCCTGGGGGCTGTTCTGAACACACAGCTGGAAAACACACGGCAGCCACACACTGGTTCATGCTGCGTCCACCGAACCCTGCCTACCTGTGGCTGCTCATCTCCTCACGGAGCTCAGCGGTAACCTGGGATGCCTATAAGCAATCTGTAAAACTGTACGGTAACACGGTACGAAAATGAGTTTTAAACCGTCTGTGCTCCACCTTACTAAATGTGTTCTTGCCAATGTTCAGCGAGTTAGTGATACTAAGCAAGTGAGGATTACGAGGAACTAACAAGGTCCCTTTGTGAGAAGTGTGCTTCAGCGAGATCTTGTGATGGGGGGGGGGGCTGTAAACCCACTCTACTCACTTTCATTTGTTTCATGAGCTCAAACATCTGCTCCGGGGGCAGGCTGGCCACAGCCCTGCTGATGGACTCGGGGGCCTCTTCAGGCTGGCAGGGGTCTCCGTAAGGGGACTCGATTACGGGGGCACCCGTGCCCAAACCTTCAAGAGAAGATGTCAACGTTCCTGCACATTAGCGGAATGGCGGGATCACGTCCCCCTCAAAGCCCTTTGCACGACAAGCTCGAAGGTCAGGATGTCACGTCGAGGGCGTGAAAACAGAGCAGGTGCACAACTTGTTTTTTTGTTTGTTTTTGTGGTCTAAAATCCCTCATACTCACTCTTGAGCTCTTCCTTGTTCTTCTCGCTGGCGGCGTTGTCCACGCGCAGGGCCCGCCCACTGAACTCGCGCCCGTTCAGATTGCGCATGGCACTGAGGGCCGTCTCCTGGTCCTGGTACTCACAGAAGCCATAGCCCTTGGGCTTGCCCGTCTCTCTGTCGTACACCAACCTGCGGCACCGGAGAGACAAGTATAGCCTACAGGGCCAAGGCAGCCTGGTCTTCCCCCCCGTCTACTGTCCGATCTGGAAGAGACTCAGCGCCACCCCTACCACCCCGACAGTTTCTGCTCCTCTCCTTCAAGGGTATCAGACGCAGGCCTAACCCTAACACAGGTTTTCAAAAAGTACCATTTTCATAATGGAACAGTATACACGTTTGAGACCGCTGAGCCTGCAGGGATGGTATTCACTCACTCTTGACCTCAAGATCCCAATCCTCAACCCTGAGCTATTTTCAAACAACCCACCCTCAACTAAAGTTTATCCAGAAAGTCTAACCTTCGTCCTAACCCCCATAATGTCTTACCTCTGTAAACCTCTGCGCTTAATTCATCTTTAACCTGGTAATTTACCTTCACAGCACATACAAAGAAACTTAAGAGCTAGCTCTAAGCTTAACTCTGCCTTTATCCTGTTCCATCTCCATTCCAGAGGGAATATATTATCCCGGTGTAGCCCTAGCCCAGTCTCAGCCTGAATGTGGGAATACTGACCCGGCACGAGCTACTATCCCTGGCTGTCCACAGAGTGCTGTAAAAGAAACTGACCATCTCAATACAGACCAACAGGTGAAATGCCGGTGAGCCACAGACCCAGCCACGTCCCCTACCTGAAACTGACGACCAGGCCGACCTCAGAGAAGATGTCCTTCAGCTGCTCCTCGGTGGCTTCGTAAGGGATGTTCCCCACTGCAGGAGACGAGCCAGCATGAGCTACAGCACGGCCACTGTGCCGTCTTCACGGGCTAGCAGTCTGAACCCCAGGGGTGTCGCACAAAGGGTCGTGCCTTCGCATCGTCATATTCCCCGAGTTACCATCAATAGCACCGACGGATACCAAATGGCAACGGCCTCAGAGTTAGTTACAATAGCAGACCGCCTGGAGCTCCGTAAAACCGCTCTGTTTAAAAGGATGCGATGTTTGTTTACGCGACGGCTACACTGAGGGATGCTAATCACACGTCCTGCGCTAAAACAGAGGCAAACTGTTGGAGCGGTCCGCTCGCTAATCGATTTCTGCCCAGAAAACAGGGAGCTGGGAGAGCCGGACGCGCATCTCCGTTTCACTTACCGAAGACGGAGCGCAGAGAGCGGTCCACCGCCGGGTCTCTCCCCGCTGCTGCAGCAGCGGCCACCACCGTACTCGCCATTTTGGACAGGAAGCGACTCTTCCTGCAGGAGACATTACTTCCTCTTCGCTCGAGACCGTGGCGTGGGACCCAAAGGCTCATGGGAAATGTAGTTTGTTTAAAAACGACACTCAAAGTTTTATTTTTTCGTTTACTCTGAAACTATACACATGTCACCGAATGGAAATATATTTAATAAATATTCAACATGTATGTGAGCCAAGGTTCTATGGTGAAACGAGTCTGCTTCTAGTCTGCAACTACAGTGGTGAACATTTACGACAGTAATAAAAGTATGTCGGAACAGCTGAAGAAATCGGAATACGACACTTGTGCTACACGTGGGTCCGTTCGGCAGACAGTCAACATGGCTAAGAAGCGAAAAGTTGCAAGTGGCGAAACTGCTTCTAAAACAAGGTTAGCAAGGGTGGGATTAAAAGAAACGAGGTGTTGTTAGTAGAGAGTTGGATATTGGTAATTTAATTACACGTCTGGGTTGAGTGGGTGTCCGAGCGCTGGGCTAGATAAGTCGATGACTTGTGAAGGAGCTGTACCGGAGGCTAAAATAAACTTAAGGTTTATAATTGTAGGACCTTCAATATTGCTACCGAGTATTAACAGGTTGTCGTAGTGCTAATGTTAAATCGGATGGGTTGTATCATTGTTGATGGGATTTTTAACTTCTTCCAGATCTTGATTCAGTTGATTTCTTAAAACGAGCACCGCTGTACTTCCCCGTGCAGAGGAGTGCTCTTGTCCTCGGAGCACAGTGGTGTTGTGAAATTCATGTACACTTTCTATATTTCTCGCAGTAAGAAAAAAGCTTCACAGCGGGACGCAGCTCCCGGCGTAGTCGAAGAGGAGTTCTTGCCGACAGAACACGCCGACAGTGCCAGCGAGGATGAGGTAAGGGCGAGTAGTCCTCTTTGGTCATTGTCTTGCTAGAGTAGTGCAGTGTTTTATAAGACGACGAGATCTCGGAGTGGGCTGGGAGTGGATTCCTTCTGTGGTGCCTTTTGCTTCAGGAAATGTGAGTGTAACTGTCCAGTTCTACGCCTGGACAGCCGTAGTCCCTATGACAGGGTTTTAAGGCAGCCTTAAAAGTGAAGTGAGCGCTGGAATGTGTGTTGAACTTGCCCAATGAAATGACTGACTTAGGAGATGCTGTGGCTGCCTAGAACCAAGCGTGATCCCGCGTTGTCTGAACAGTGATATGTTTGTGTCGGGTCCACTTTTGTGTCTGGGGTTCCCATGGGGTTGACGTCTCTCCATCGGGAGCCTGCTGGCTGCTGGGTGAAGCAGCTAACGTTCCTTTGGGAAATGTGGATCCGTGTGCCTGGCGCGGGATGTTCCCGCTGGGAGAGTTTCCGGGCTGGTGGGGCAGTTGAGCTGACGACGAACGTGCGCCTGTGCTGCTGTTTCAGGGCCGCAGTGACGACGAGAGGAAGCACCAGAAGCTGCTGGAGGCCATCGGCTCCCTGGACGGGACGAAAAGGTGGGATTGAGGGGGCCGGGGAGGGCAGGTGCTGGCCAGCAGTCGTGCCAGGTTTCGAACGACAGCTCTCCGGCGTAATGTCGGGGCAAAACCTAGAAAAATAAAACCCTCAAAGGCATCAACGGAATCGATCAAGTGGACGTCTTTCAGTATCGAGTGAATCACAGACTACGGGACACAGGCAGGAAGTATGGGGCAAGTGCACTTGAAACTGAGATTAGGAGGCATTCCTGACCCAAAGGGTGGTGGGAGTGTGGAACAAGCTACCCAGCCTTCCTGTGAAAGCTGATACCCCGGCTGTCTTCAAGAAACAGCTGGATGAGACCTCAGGTTAATTTGGGTACTGACCACCGAATGGGTTGGATGGGCCAGATGAGCTCCTCTTGTTTCCGGCTGTTCTCGTGTTCTACTGTCTGCAGTCACACAGCACCAGTAGAGGGAAAGCTGTGTCCACTGGGCCAGCGCAGCTGATTCTCTTTCCTCTCTTAACAGGAAGAAGCTCGCCGAGAGGTCAGAGGCGAGTGCGCAGGTGTCAGAGTTCGCTGTCAGTGCGGAAGGTAAGTGTGCCTCTACACTCTATAGCATTACATCCCACTAGCATATACAGGAGGCTGGAGTCCTGCTGAAAACCTTCTGCACTAGAGTCAACCCACTGACTGTTCAAAGTTGACAGAAGGTAGTGGGAATAAAACTCATAGGATAACTGGCAGGTTTAGCTCACCAGATTTTCTGTCTGTGTGTGTCAGTCGTTTCTGGAAAGTCGACTAAGGTGTACCAGTAGGTGGCACCATTCTCTCTGGGTCTGACTTTCCAAACCAGTATCCCAGAAATGATGACTGGAGGTGCAGTTGGAGATGCCTTCAGATGGATATTGCACCGAGCTACCTGACTGCTTGGTCATTAGAGATCCCAGGGCACTGTCCATAAGAGTAGTGGTCTTGATTCTGGAGTTCTGGTTAAATTCTGCTCAGGGCCTGATCGCTCCCACCCAACTAAATGTATTTGGTGAAGCAGTTTCTTACATCTCCTCCTGATCTGCTGGCACAGAATGGCTGCTTTGTGTCACCCTGGTGGAGCCGCACTTCAGTAGTGGATGAAGTGGGTCCTTTGCTGTATGTACAGTCCCTCAGGATCCTATGGGATGAAAAGTGCTATATCAATGCAAGGAAGTAATAAAGATCACACCAGATTCCAAACTTTAGTGCGGCTCCGAGATGGGTGAGACATGAAAGACGGGGTGGATGAAACAAGGTGGCACTTTTAAATTAGTAGTTCAGGTGGGGAGCTGCGTCAGCATGCGTAGGCTGCAAAGGAACAAATAATAGGTTTATTCCATGCTGAAAAAAAGAAGAAAGAGAACACAACGTTTCGGCCGTGGAGCCTTCTTCAGGTGTGCCTACTTTTAAATTAGGTTTGGGGCCTCTGGCCCTCTGACTGGGACCTGCAGGAATCTGTAAAAGTGTGGGCTGAGACGGCGACGGGCTCAGGGATGGGGCTGGTGATGGTTCTGGACGTCTGACCAGGTTGCCTGCTGTGGTTTTGTCCTCCTCAGGTGGCGGGGAGAAGATCGATCTGTCGGACTTGCTCGGCACCATGCAGCAGGCCCGGCCCTCCATCTCCCGCACTAGGAAGCAGCTGAGGAACCTGCAGAACTGCAAGGCCACCCTGGACCTGCCCCTGAGCCAGCAGGAGACCCAGAAGGTAAGAGATCCGCGACACAGGCGCTGTGCTGGCACTGCCGTGGGAAGATGCCCTACTGTGCCACACGAGAAGCACTGCGCCAGGCAAGCGTCCCTGCATGCCCAATACCGGCTCTGCACTAGCTTGTTGCTATGAGCACCGGTGTGCCCGAGTGAGACAAGGTCACTGGTACCCAGCCTGTTACAGAAATGGCGTCAGTTTCTTGAAACCCAGGCAGTGTGGAGCTCTGCCACAGAGGAGGATCTGGTCCTTTGCCGTAGTGGAGTTCAGCCTGTCTAGGGAATGTCTAGGCGGTGTGAGCTCTGGGTCTGGGAGCATCCTGGATCGAATCCCAGCAGGGGCAGAGCACAGCGCTCCCAGTAGCACGTGGAACAGAAAATCAGTAAAAAGGCTCTGGTGAAGGACTTGATGAAAAGCCCTTGAAGAATATGACACTCCACCTTTGGGGTATGAGTGTAGAGCTGATGCTCTGCGTTTATAGACATCTCAAAGTCTGTTGACCCAGTTTGCCAAGGATGTTTTCTCAAGTCTTACACGGCTGCATTCTTGGCAAGCAGTGGTGAAGCTCCTGGGCTGCTGTTCCTGTTGTGAGATCTGCCCTCCTGGAGTGTGGGTTCAGGGAGGGTGACTGTTTTCCTGCCTTCCCACAGATCCAGAGAGTTGTGGCCTACAAGAAGTCCAGGGAGGATGTGTCCCGCTGGAAGAACGTGGTGATCCAGAACCGGAAAGCGGAGCAGCTGGTCTTCCCCCTGAACCAGGAGCCCTCCGGCCCGCGACCCGTGGAGCAGGTGGTGGCTGGGTGGAAGGTGGGTTTTCACGGGGGGTGCTCGATGTGTGCTGGGCGGGTGGGCAGACAGATCTCGGGGGAAGCTCTCCAGCCCCGGTCTGCCTCACGCTGGTGTTTGTGTGTTGCAGGCACGGACCCCCCTGGAGCAGGAGATCTTCAGCCTCCTGCACAAGAACCTGCAGCCCATCACAAGCCCTGTGCTGACACCCCACGAGCAGGCCTCCCTTAAGGCCATGAGCCTGGAGGAGGTGAGGCAGCTCCTCTCACACTTCCTGCACGCTCTGACCTGCTGCATCTCGCTTGACATGCTTTTGAGACAAAAGCCCATGAATGCATACTAGCATTCGTCAAAAGGCTGGTACCCTGACTGGACTAACGTTTGCATGGGAGTCCGTATCGCAGATCAAGGCCTTCGATGCTGATATGTGCTGAAGGGGTTGAGCAGGAAGGATTTGTACATTTTTTTTAGGACAGCAGCCTGCTTTACTGAAAGAGCACAAAAGGAAGAAAATAGCGAAGCACAGAACTATACATACATGAGCTCACACGCAAATGCAGGATGTGAATAAAGTAAAACTAATAACGCTATTAATCGATTTAATTAATTCACACTATTCAGCCTGGCAGCTGAGAGCTCAGGATGAACTATGTCCCTAGACACAGGTAGCCAGCACAGCAATGTGGCCTTAACTTTTTCACTCCAGAGTTTACCGGTAACATTTAAATCGGAATATAATTTTTTATTGCATGTCAGGTTGTTCTTGGCTTCATTGGTTAACCCTTCCAGCTCACACCACAAGGTGGCACCGGGAGTTCCCTCTCTCTCAGACACACACGCAGGAACTTTACAAGTTTACATGAACATAGGACACACTGCAAGGGAGGAGGGGCCGCGCCGCCCAGCTCACTTGCTCATGTGGATGGAAGTGTAAGACATCACGCAGTGTCGGATGACTGTCTGGGACACCGGTACCCAGGGGGTCTGGAGTGCTCCCCCTCGCTGTGCACAAGACAAGGCTCTGGGGTGTTTTTCCTAGGGTGTGCGGACTGGGTGTGCTGAGGTGCACTGGTGAGCATGTATGCTACCTGGGCCCCTTGGTCATCTGAGGTTGTGACCCTCCCTTTCCTGGCTGAGCGATCTCTGCTTTCGCGTATTCCAGCTGCTCCAGCCCGGTTCTTCACCTCTCATGTGCTGATATCCAGATCACCGGGTTCTGTTGCTGCTGAATCCCTTTGCCAGACTAGAAAAAGGGTGACTGAACCCAGCAAGCTTGCAAAAGATGTCAACTTAATTTTCTTCTTTTTTTTTCCCTCCCATTTAATCCGCTGCCTGTTGAAATTCCCAGGCTAAGATGCATCGTGCCGAGCTGCAGAAGGCCCGGGCCCTCCAGTCCTACTACGAGGCCAAGACCAAGAGGGAGAAGAAGATAAAAAGCAAAACGTGAGAGCTCCCTCCTTACCTCGACAGTCTCTCGCCATCTGTGTGCAGAACCGGGCCGGCCTCCTGGGTGACGACGTTTGAGCGAATGTCTTCTTGTGCACTGTAAAAAAAAAAAAGGCAGAGACGCGTACTCAGGCTTGGCAGCCAGCAGCTCTAGGAGGGGGGTGTACCAGTTGGCACAGGGTTTATGATGGCTAGATGAAGTGGGTGGTCTGTAGGCTCCAGGAATGTGTAGCACAGATTGAGGGAGCGTGTTTTTATTTGGAGAGGCGTTAGTGCTGTTTGGGAGACAGCATGTGCGTCTGGTCCGGGCGCCTGCGTGTCACCGGCTGGGGGAGGGGAGCGGCATGTGTGGAGCCGTCATGGGGCTGAGAGACGGGGGATACCGGAGCAACCGGACGGAGCAAGTGGACAAGGTGGGCCGGACACTGTGCATGTGGCTATGGGTAGAATAAGGGAGGTACGTCTCTGATCAGGCATAGTTTTCTAGACGTGTTGCACAGGGTACATGACCTCAGGGTGCTGGTCTGTGTGGTGCAGGTATCCTTGATCATGATAGGTGACTTCAGTGTGCTGGCCTGTGTGCTGCAGGTATCACAAGGTGCTGAAGAAATCCAAGCGCAAGGATGTCCTGAAGGAGTTTGAAGAGCTGCGCAAGACCGACCCTGCAGCTGCGCTGGAGGAGCTGAAGAAGATGGAGCTGACCAGGATGAAGGTGAGTGGGTGGTCCTGTTCCACAGAGACATCCTGCTGCAGTGCAGAGGGGAACAGTTCTCTACTGGACTGTGTTCACCTTAAAGAGGATCCATTTGAATTTCTGATATTCCCACAAATATACCTGGAGGTGTTTTTATTTGAGGTGCACAGGTACAATTCATGGTGTTTTGTCCCAACAGGAGTGTTTTATCCTCTATTTCTAGACTACAAAGAAGTCTTTTTTTTTCTTCTTCTGTTGGTTGAAAGTAGCTCCTCTTCTCACTTTTTCGAATATACGTGTGAAAGATGAATTCTGTCCCTTTCTCGAGCTTTGTTTCTCTCTGTGCAAAACCCCAGTAAATTCAGCGCCAGCATTAATAGGTGCCTGTCATGTTCAGTAGGCCTAACGTTGTGATGCCTGTGGAGGGGTTGCCATAGTAACGTGGGACATGTGTTTGTTCACCTGTCATGCAGGAGCGAATGTCTCTGAAGCACCAGAACAGCGGCAAGTGGGCCAAGTCAAGAGCCATCATGGCCAAATACGACGAGGAGGTAAGCCCTGCTTGTCGATGATCCGCTGCACCACGCAGCTGCCCTCGAATCGGGCAGCAATCAGACAGGGGCGGCTCGCAGTTCTGCAGGCGGAAACTCGTGCACATCTGGCAGCGAGACCTTTGCGAGGCCGGCTGCAGAGGCTCAGCCCGAAGGCTGACTCCCACTGGGACGCCTGGTGAGTCCCGCTCGTGGTAGGGCTGCTGCTGTAGTGCCCGCTGGGGTACAGGGGACCCCGAGGCTTGGCCCTGAGGCAAGAGGGGAGCAGGCCGCACACTGCCAGCCTTGTCCACCGTGGGCTGGAGCAAGCAGGGGCGCCTCGGGGGGCGTGTCTGGAGTGAGGGTGTGTTCACTTCCAGTAAAGACAGCCTGTGGATAAAAATCATCAATATATCTGCCTGACTCTTCCATCCGAGATGATGGTTTGCGCCCTTTTATACAGTTGTGTATTTTTTGGAAATACGTTGTCAGATCTTCATTTCAGGGTACATTCTTGTCAAAGGTACAATAAAGCAGACGGTTGTTTCTGGCGTTTGTCAGCACGGTACCTGATGGGGAACCAGTGTTGCTCGAGCTGTCAAACCCGACAGGTCTTCGCTTGCTGCAGTGTGAAGTTGTCTCTCCAGTGTCGTGTTCGCATCCTCAGGTTGTTTTACCAGCCCGGTGACCTGTTGCAATGGAGAACGCGTGCTCTTTGTCGGATTTTCTTGTTTGGGGCGAAGGCTGATCCTTAACCGCCCGGCGCGTGTCTCTCCCAGGCCCGCAAAGCCATGCAGCAGCAGCTGGAGATGAACAAGCAGCTGACGCAGAAACTGGCCGTGCCCTCGGACAGCGAGGAGGAGGAGGGGGCAGGCGAGGCGGAGGCCGTGCCGGATTTCGTGAACGACGCCCAGCCGGCGGCCGACCCCTCCAACCCCTGGCTAATGGGCAAGCTGAGGGCGGAGCCGGCTGCAGAGGAGGGGGCAGAGGAGGGGGCAGAGGAGGGGGCAGAGGAGAGGGCAGAGGAGAAGCCAGAGGCAGAGCAGCAGCAGCAGCAGGAGGAGGAAGAGGAAGAGGAGGGAGAGGAGGATGCGCTTCTCCGGGAGTTCGAGGAGAGGCGCCAGTTACGCGAGGCTGAGAGTCCAGATCAGCTGCTGCCGCCAGAGAAAGGTGAGGAGTGCTGACGCAGCCCACTGGGCGTCCAGGCCTGCAGCACATGGGCTGGCTGTGCTGCGAGCAGCGAGCTCTGAAGCTGCTCCTCATGCCCGTGTCGCCCTGCGGATCGCCTGGCTGGGAGGCGGCGTGCAGCGTCTGCTCTCCACAGGAGCCTCGGTGCGGTAACAGGCGCTGGTGCACTCGGGGCGCACGAGGCCAAGGAGGAGTGAGAGGAGAGGAGAGGAGTGCAGGGTGTTGATGTGCCAGGTGCTGCTTTAAGGCTTGCCAGTTGACACGCTGGATATTCTCAATATAGAGAAGTGATTGTTGCAGGTTTGATTTTATTTACTCAGAACTAGATTTTATTAGCATATGACTTAAATGCATAATTCTGCTTGAGAATTTTTATCTTAAATTGAAGTCTGAGCATGCTGATCACCTTCTCTGTTATATGGCAATGAAGAGCTTTACAGCAGTTCCACTTTCATTGCGAATCCTGCGTATGGCCTTACTTGTGTTGTGTTGCTACACTTGTTCTTCTGAAAACTCTGCAGGAGAGAAGAGCGAGGAGGCGGATATGGAGGAGGAGGAGGTTTCGGAATTTAACAGCCTCTTTCAGAGGCTGGTGGGAGGCAGGCGGGAGCCCCCGGGAAAGAGGGTGACGCCGAAGCCAAGGCGGGAGGACAGCGCGCCGCCTGCCGACGAGGGAGCGGAGAGAGAACAGCGCCCCCTGCTGGATGAAGGGCTGATGCGCGTCCAGACCCTGGAGGACTTGGACCTCCTGAGCCAGGGGGTGACGGGCGAGTCCGATGGGCCGGCGCCGGAGTGCAAGGCACCGGGTCCCAGCTCGGAGGGCGAGGGCAGGAACGAGGGAGGGCAGGAGGTCAAGAAAAAGAAAAAGAAGGTGATCAGTCTCAGTCAGGTGCTGACCAAGGAAGCCAAAGTCATCCAGGTTCCGGTTGCTCCCACCGCCATTGAGGAAGAGGAGGTAAGGATGAAAACGGGAAGAATTGTGACCTGGTCCTGAAAGACCAAGATGCCTTGATGTAAACCTCCCAGATAATTAGCCCCTGAACGCAGGTTACGCACAGGGATAAGTATTGATCATCATTGAGTATCTGATTGTGTGGAGCTACTCTGCCTGAGTATTCAGGCTCAGGTGGGGCTGCACACTGGTGGTGGTGGAGGGGAGTCCCCATTACCTGTAAAGCACTTTGAGTGGAGTGTCCAGAAAAGCGCTATATAAGTGTAAGCTATTATTATTATTATTATTAGAAGAAAGAAATAGTGACGTGTTCTCGTAGTGTCAAGCGAAGCCACATCCATGATTTCACTGGGATCCTCGGCAAACGACAGCTGCTGTTCATCTGTTTCCTCGGCCAGGGTGAGGAGGTGCAGAAGATGATCATCAAGGAGGCTTTTGCGGCGGACGACGTGATCTCGGACTTCCTGAAGGACAAGCGGAGGCAGGCGGAGGAGTCGAGGCCGAAGGTGGTGGACCTGACCCTGCCGGGCTGGGGCGAGTGGGGCGGCGTGGGCCTCAAGCCCTCCAAGAGGAAGAGCAGGAGGTGGGTTGCGAGCCGCGTCACAGTCTGGCAACGGCTCCCGAGCGGGGATTTCTTTGGAATTTCTCTGTTGTTCTGGAGCCTGACCTTTTACAGCATCTGTTGGTTATTTGCGTCTCTTTTACTTCCATAATTTCTTCAACTAGTTTAATTTTTTATTACTTTGCACCTATTAACAATTGAGAAACATTTGAAAAACGATGGATGGTGAAGATGGCGTGGGTAGTTTTGCCGTTTGTTTTTACTTCTCATCAACACTGCTTTGTCTGTAAACATCCACACATTGGGGGATATCTGTGGGCACTGGTTGACATTCCCTGACTCTTTGGGAATTCGGTTATTCCCTCCCAGAGCTCAGCGTCACAAGTATCCCATGCTGCCCCCTGTCTCGCCCTCTGCAGGTTCCGGATCAAAGCGGCCCCTCCCCCACCCAGACAGGACCGGAACCTTCCTGACGTCATCATTTCCGAGAAGAGAGACGCTTCTATCGCAGCCCACCAGGTGAGTCTGCTGCGGCCCCCCGTGAGGTTTTTAAACCGATGAAGACGAGCCCCGGCTGTCCTTCCGCAGGTGTGTGGCGCATTGCTGCCTGTCCTCAGGTTTCTCTCCGCCGTGCCCCGCAGGTCGCCCAGCTGCCCTTCCCCTTCGAGAACCCGACGCAGTTTGAGCGCAGCGTTCGCATGCCGGTCGGACAGACCTGGAACACCCAGCGCTCCGTCCAGAAAATCACGGCCCCCAGAGTCGTCACACAGCTGGGCGCCATCATTGAGCCCATGGCCAAGGAGGACTTCCTGCAGGGAAAGAGCGCACAGGCTGCTGGGAAGCTCCCGGACATCGCGCTCACGTCCAGCGGCGGGGACCCCAAGAAGAGAGCGAAGGGGTTCCGGAAGAAGGGGGCCCCCAGGCATAGGGAGCACCAGAAGGACCAGCAGCCGAGCGAGGAGACAGAGGCCTGATCCTGGCGCTTCGATGGGGACAGCTGCCAGGCGCGGTCTTCTTCATCTGCTCAGCTCAACTCTAACTGTTTTCGGCTCGTTTTTAACCCGCTGGGGACCGCAGGTGAACTGTAAAACTTCACGGATGAAATTGGTAACGTTTTTTAAATCTGAAAGCGGTGAACCGAGGTCTGTTTACACGAGCCAGGAGTTCGCTGAAGGCGGGAATGAGGTTACTGCGAGCTCAAAGTACGGCCGACGTCAGAGGACCCCAGGATAGTGATGACTGGGGCTGGGGAGGCCTCCACTAGACCTTTGTGTCGGGGGAAGACGGCTGTTTTGAAGAGGGCCTTCAGCTGACTGTTGCCCTAAATACTCCCCCCATTGTACTAGTGCAGCCTGTTTGGACAACACTGAATTGCGGTGATTTAAATGGACATTCCCCGTCTGTAAATCTCAATTAGTAAAAGATTTCTTGTGTCAAGATTCTGTGTATTGGCTTTTCTTGAATTGCATAGAGGAAAACCCTAGAACTTCAACTTTATCTCTGAAATTAGGAACGATAAACCTGAGGTTTTGCGGACTGTAGAACACAGAGAAGCTTTAAATCACAACAATTAAGGTTCATTAAAAAAATTACAAGGAACAGATTTGTCCTGGTTTGTTCAACAGCTGATGAGTCTTTTTTTCCCTCATTTAGCAGAATAATATAATGTATGTCCATTTTTGCAATTTGGCTTTTGTAAGTCATATAAAATAATAGCCACAGCTTTCAGGTGTCAACTTTTTATTTTTAGCCTCTACATGGAAATTTGGGATAGTTTAAGCCCAAAGATGCAATTGCATGAAGTTTTGGCAATGTCGGAGCTTTCCCGATCTCCTAGAATCTGTGCTCAATAAACCGAGAGCAGGGAGTAACACAGACTGCGATGGACTGGTGTCCCGTCCAGGGTGTACCCTGACTCGCGCCCGTTGCTTGCCGAGAACCTCCCCCGCTACACGGTGCTGGATATAAAGCGGACGGTGAATAATAAGTAAGTAGTCTCATAAGCAGATGTAATTAAAATTAGATGAACTAGCGAACGACATGGTATCAGAATCCCCCGTCATTTTAAAGCTCGGTTTTCGATGTATCGATCCCCGATTACTGATAAGTTCAGCTCGACGAGTGAAAAATAAGAACGCACTTCCTAATAGCATAGCGCTGCGGAATATAAAATAGAGCACAGAAAGAGAAGGCCTTCAAGACTTAAGCCTCCTAAATCGCCATGGTAACAAAATTCCTCTGATAAACAGGATGTGGGCTGTGCGGCTTCTGTTGGTGAGGACAGACGTTAACGTCTTCCAGGGTAGGGTCAGTTTGACATGCTGATCTGAAAACTGTCCCTGAATCCCAGCTGAACTTGCGATTCCTGAAAACCAGTGCGACATTCCCAGCTGTCATAACACGAAAGACGAGTTCCTGATTTTTTTATTACAATACACATAACTAAAAGCCACTGAAAGCTCTTGATTGGCTAAGCCTTTGCGTTTAAAATTTCTGAGCGGCATCTGCTGTATTTCGGCGGCGCAACACACTGCTTCCATGTTTTTTCCCCTCAAACGCCTCCTGTCGGAAATCCTCCACCTACTCGCGTTTGTGGAAACTGTGCCTGAAATCCAAGTGTTCGGTGTTCGCGATGCTGTGTTGTAGGAAATTGCCCTATTATGTGAAACACGCTGAAAGAGCAGTCTCACACACAGGTGTACAGTATATATATATTGACACCTGAAGAAGGCTCCACGGCCGAAACGTTGTGTTCTCTTTCTTCTTTTTTTCAGCATGGAATAAACCTATTGTTCCTTTGCAGCCTACGCATGCTGACGCAGCTCCCCACCAGTATATATATATACACAGACACACTTGCATGTGTTGCGTCTATATCTATAACATACACCTGCGATGCACGGACGATTCAGGTTATTTTACGTCTTCCTCCTCTGCTTAAATTCTTAAACTCAAGGCTGAATATGACATTGAACTTGATGTATTCGGCCCGGTAGCCATCGTCAAAACGATCGCAGATGAGAACGTGTTTCTCTTGGCGGTAAAAGCTCTCGGGCCTGTCTGACCCATCAGAAGTCCGCGAACTGTTGGTAAAAAATGATTATAGGCACTGCACATAGTTTCTTCAGAGCCAGGTGTGACTGTTCTGCAGACCGCAGTCTAAAAGGTACGTCGTTTTTCCGGGCCGGGAACGCATTCTGCATGGAGATTGCCTGTTCTTCACTTGGCGTCCCGTTTTCCTTTCACCTCCTAAAAGACTCGTTGTCCACTTTACTCGGAGTAACTACATCGTCGCCCATTGTTGATGGGCCTTCAGTGGAGAAAACGGACAAAGGATCATCACAGAATAGCATAGACCAGTACACGTCTCCGTTTTCGGGCGCTTTGGCTCTGTTATTCAGTTATTTAATTGCTTTTTGCCATAAATGTCCACGTCTTTTTGGCATTGAGCAGTCTACTATAAAACATATTATCCTTGCAAATTTGTGTTGTTTTCAATTTTAGGTATTTGAATGCATCAAACAATCAGTTAGATGTATTTGGGTTTTTTTTATCAAGAAAGTGTTTTAAGGACTATATTTAGTGGGGTTTTTTTTCTAAAGTAATAGTTTTTCGATGTCATTATTTAGAAAATACAACTAGTCGACGATTCCAAACTTTTTGCCGAACTGCAAGATATAATTACCGCTGGGGGGCGCAAGGATATTATTTGTATTTTTAATCTTTATTCTTTCGCATTTACTGTAATTCCGGAAAGCGCAAGCGGTTACGCCGGCACCCGCGTTTCCCTTATTTACGAAGGAAATGCTGAATTCGAAAACACTCGCAGTGCTACCCGTGCAGGACAGTCCTTAGCTGTTCTGTGCTACGTACTGTTCTACTTGAAGTTGAGTCGGTTTTTTTTTTAACCTTATTTAGTTTTAAACATTAAATCGGCAAGGTTGATTTTAGGGGGGGAAAAAATAAAAAAGGACAAAACGTGCGTGGTTCCACTGGGGCTCGAACCCAGGACCTTCTGCGTGTAAAGCAGACGTGATAACCACTACACTATGGAACCGGCCGCCGACAAGAGGCTCTGAAATGGCGCTGTTATAGCAGCAGGCACTGCTTATGACGTATGATTTCCCGATGAGGCATTTTTGTTACTTGCACCTATATTTACACGCATATTAGAAACAGTTTCGATCTGAAAGCATCGAATCTGTTCACTGGCGCGGCTCTAGCCGTGCGCGACCGCTCCTGTCAGGAAGTCGGCTCAAACCGGCACACTCCGCACGCCGTGTCCCGGGAGATCCCACCAGCGAGTGACACTGCTCATAATCGCAGTGGGCTCGGAGTTAGTTTCCTGTTAAACCCACGGTCGCGTTTGTTTGCGGGTGTTTTGGGGCTCAGATCCATCACGAGGTCGTTGTTTCTTTTTAAAAACAACAACAACAACAACAACAACACACTGATTCGAAGCCACTCGTGCCGCGTGATCGCGTGTGTCTCCCCCCCTTTTTTAAAAAAAAATATATTTTTTTTTTGTTTTACCCCGGCGTTTTTCTTCCTCACCGTAGGCATTGTCAAAGGCATTTATTCACGCAATGAACAAAGACTCCTGCTGTGTCTCGGGGTAAGTTGTGGGCTGTTAGCCCCTCCTAGGTGTAAACTCTCTAATAGGTGAATTTTCATCATTTTAAATATCGCACATAGCTGAAGGCCTGCTACTGAAAATTACAGATCCTATTCACAGGCGAGGCGGAGCGGGGCGGGGGGGGGGTTGGGTTTTAACACGAACGAAAACTACCTGAGCATACCCTGCTCAAAACACCCCGTGCCCGGACCCTTCCTGCTCGCCTCCGTTATCTTGGGAATATCAAAAAAGCAACAGTTCAGACCGAAGGAGAAACACCAGCCTGGCACAGCGCTTCTGCGGAGTGTTTCCGACTTTGAGAGAAAATGGTCGAGGCTAGCCTATTTTCTGATACATCACGGCCCTCGGACGCCCACTTCTCTCACGGAATGCGGTCTGACGTGACTGTAAATAGGAGTTAACTCCTGCTGATGGAACAGCCGATCGCAGGCGCTGTGCGCCGGCTCATTTATCGCTGAGGTAGTTGGGAAAAGGGCAGAAAGCAGCCAGCCCCCACCCCTATCGCCGCTCTGTCCTTTCACCCCCGGCGTAAATCATCCCTACAGCCTGGATAAAGGTCTAACACCGTGTAGCGCCGCGTCTAAATCATTTCAACGAGATTAAGTACGAGAACATGATCTAAAAACGAGCTACCAGCTATCAGCTGGACGAGAGAGCAAAACCTCGGTACGAGATTTGCTACTTTAGAAACTGTGGAATCGGGGAACCGTGCAATGAGAATCTCGGTGCCATCAAAAAATGCATAAACCGAGTCAGGGTCTGCCTTCGGATTAATTAACAGCCCCGGCATTGATCCTCTCTCCCGGGACAAAGTGCCGTCACGCCCGCAGGCCACGCGTGGGGCGTCTGTCCAGAAGAAATCTGTTCTGCAAGACGGCAAAGCTGGTGCTGGGACGGAGCTACGCTGTGTTGTGCTTATTAATATTATTTTCATACAGATGTCTCCTTGCCGTGGTGATGATGGAGAGCCTTCAGATAATTACCCGAACCTGGTCACAGTGGCACTTCTGTGTCATACACGGGGAGGCCATTCGACGCAGGTAGCTCGTGGGGTTATAGTATGTGTCCCAGACCTTATTACGCATGACCGGGCTTTTTGTTCCCCACTTCCACCACCCTTTGTGTAAGGGAGTCCCCCCTGTCTCCGTTTCAAATGTTCCTCCTCCCTGTTCAGTTTCAATTCAGGGAAAATCTCGACTGGTGTTTTTTTTTATAAGACAAAAGAGTATCGTTCGCAGTTCGGGTCGGTGCTAGTGTCTAACGAAACCATGAAGCGGCAGCTGGTTAATTGGACTAGACGCCGACCGATACCCTTGATGAATTTTCATATTTTGTGTTTCTGGCAGTAAGCAAACGGTGAAAATGTGCAAAAAAAAGAAACCTTAATTTTGTTAAAGGTAATGACTTTTTAAGGCTAATACAGCTCACGAAAGTATGCATTACTTCAAGTTATATTATAATAATACATTCAAGTAGGGAGCTGCGTCAGCATGCACAGCTGCAAAGGAACAAGTAGAGGTTTATTCCATGAAAAGAGAAGAAAGAAAACAACGTTTCGGATATGGAGCCTTCTTCGGGTGAGACGCATAAAACCCGTGTAATATAGGGTCTAATAATAATAATAATAATAATAATAATAATAATAATACACTGCATAGTTAGATATTAGTAGTAGTTTTACTATTATTATTAGTAGT